GGCCTAATATCAGACCGCATAATACTATTTTAAACACAGCCGCTTTCATCCGCTTGTGTAATTAATTGCAAGCCATACTTTCAACCAATCAAAAAGCATGTTTTTAACATAAATAATTGCTCTTTGGCTGCTGCTATTTTTGACCAACCAGAGATCGGGCTGTAATATTGGAACTTGTTTTAGCCTATCAGCGACGTGTCTCCAAACGTGAACGCTGCATGCGCATGCGCGCACTAGGAACTCGGCGGCCACGCATGTGAATATTTACTGGCGGGTTAAAACAAAATTGGTCAAGTGCATCGATGCTGTTGTGCAGTGGCGGACAGGCTTTGTCGTGAGTTTGCCCAATAAATATCTATAAAAATGTACAGTTTTGCTCTCTGTCTAAGAAATTTATATTGCTGGTATCCAACAAGATACTCACCATCAGCATTTTTGGCGAGTACCGTGACATAAAAAGAGAAATTTCCGTTGGAGACTGGGTCCTGTTGTAGACGATCGTCGGCTAACCAGCCAAGGTTGGACGACGGCTTCGTCAATACGCCGTGGAGTCAAACCTCATAGTTTACCTCCATGGTCTGCTGGGCCTTTTCGGTATTGTCATATCCAGGAACCACGGGAGAGATAACACTAGGTTAGCTATAGTACTTGTTTGGTAGTCGTGCAGTTCAGGACACCATTAAGGAATGAAAAGACACTTATGTTTTGGGACCTACTAGTCTTATTATTGTACATTGCTGTCACAGTAGCTCTACTGAGCATGCTGAGTGGAGCGTTGAATTACGGGTGAATTACGGTACCCCTCCATGGAGGGGTACCCCTCCATACCCCTCCATGGAGGGGTACACCTCCATGGAGGGGTACCCGTAATTCAACGCTCCACTCAGTAGAGCTACTGTCGCAGTGTCTTTACACAGAAAAAATTTGGTAAATATAAGATGTTGGACCCATATTATTAAATACAGGAGCTAGGCTCCACAATTAAAACAGGTATGGAAAAGTGCTAATGCTTAAAATAACTTGAGCAAATATCTTATTTTTGTTGCCCGTGGAAGTCAATAGCCTAGGCCTAAAAACTGTTTATTTTCTCTTTTGAAATTCTTAATTGACTTTGTGACCTGAAAAACAGAAAATCCATGATGTGAGTGACCGCTATTAATGACTTTGGTGTGTGATAAACACATTTTGGCCTATTAATTTTGCAATCAGTTCAAAAGAGCCAACGGTTTTGGGTAGCCTACAAATTAAAGGAATGTAGAGAGATCAACTCGAAAAATGGAGAGGTCAACTGGAAACTCAAAAAGTCAACTTGAAACTCAAAAACTTGAAATTTGAAAAGTCAACTTAATTGAAACTCGAAAAGTCAACTTGAAAGACTTAAGTTAAAGTCAACTCGAAACTCCGAGGTCAACTTGAAACTCTTAAAGTCAACTCGAAACTCGAAAAGTCAACTCAAAACTCAAATTTGAAACTCGAAAAGTCAACTCGAAACTTGGAAAGTCAACTTGGAACTCTGAAAGTCAACACAAAACTCAAAAATTCAACTAGGAACTCGAAAAGGCAACTGGGACATAGCTATGAGAGAAGCAGCATAGCTATGAGAGAAGCATGAAGTGCGCACACACCCCCCCCTCCATAAAAAAGTGGTGCCCCCCCCCCCCATGCAGTCGCCCCCCACTGGACATTTGGCAACCAGAGAAAAAACACAGTCGTATAAGTTACCATGATTAGTGCGTTTAACATAAAGTGCCTTGGATTCACGTTTCTGTATATTTCACCAAATGAATATTGTTTCCAGTGTTAAACAAATGTGAAACATTCATTATTTGCCAAGTGGAATGGAACATTCCATCCGTCACTGAATGAAATTATTCTTTCCATTGCACCAATGTGAAACATTCATTATTTGCCAAGTGGAATGGAACATTCCATCAGTCACTGAATAAAGTTATTCTTTCCATTGCACCAATGTGAAACATTCCTTTGCCGAGTGGAATGGAACATTCCATCCGTCACTGAATGAAATTGTTCTTTCCAATGCGCAATGTGAAACATTCCTTTGCCAGTGGAATGGAACATTCCATCCGTCACTGAATGAAATTATTCTTTCCATTGCACCAATGTGAAACATTCATTATTTGCCAAGTGGAATGGAACATTCCATCAGTCACTGAATGAAATTATTCTTTCCATTGCACCAATGTGAAACATTCCTTTGCCTAGTGGAATGGAACATTCCATCCGTCACTGAATGAAATTGTTCTTTCCATTGCGCAATGTGAAACATTCATTATTTGCCAAGTGGAATGGAACATTCCATCAGTCACTGAATGAAATTATTCTTTCCATTGCACCAATGTGAAACATTCCTTTGCCGCGTGGAATGGAACATTCTATCCGTCACTGAATAAAGTTATTCTTACCATTGCACGAACGTGCAATATTCTTGATTTGCTTCATACGACGCCTGAATAATTCCTAGTCATCTGGTTGGTCAGAGCCACCAATACTGTGACCATGCAATGAAAGTTCTATTTACTGTGGAATTAAACATCAATTTTTTTGAGGAGCGGCTGGGCTGTGGATTGGGATGAATATTTCAATGACACGTGATCAAGGACCCACCAATCGGATGACGGGGATTTAATCAGGCGTTGTATAAAGGGAAATATTCAATAAAATGACCCCATTTAGGCCACACAAAAAAAGTCTCCGGTTTCTGGTGGTAGCCATGGTTTCGCCGTAGCCATGCGCTTCGGCAAAATAAAAAAGTTTTTTTTTTTCAATAAAAGATGATGTCTCAAACCGCCAAACTCACTGGTTTGACTGCTGCTGCACAATTTTAACGTGTTTTTAGATGGGGTTATGATCGAGAATCAGCTTTATGTGGCCTCTCTGGACTCCCATATACATGTATTTGCACTAAGTTTAGTCGGGCACCATTTGCAGTCATCAGCCGACATTTGAAGCAAAAAAAACAGGTAAAAAAAAAAAAAAAGCTGCATCGCCGCACCACTTTTTGGGCAAGCTCCATACCAGAAACCGGAGACTTTTTTTGTGGCCTTATGCAGCTTTTCTGAAATTTGTAAAAGAAAAAACAACATTTATTTTTCAGAAAATCAGGTTGAAGTTCATGCATATTACTTATTTTACAGCCGACACCTATGAATTTGAGGAGGCAGTGTACACCGTAGCTGAGGATGTCGGCAGCGCTACAGTCTACGTGATAAGGACCGGACCTCATGATGCACCCAATTCAACAGTTGGTCAGTACTATGATTTATGGGCTTTCTTTTTTTGAGGGGGGGGGGGGAGTGGGGCAAAATAGTCACATTTAATGGAGTCTGATGTTTCTCATGTGACTGATAAACTGGCTACAACGTAAAACGATGCAAATGATGGTTTTAAAAAAAAAGGCAAAAAGAAAAACGAAGAAACAAACAAAATCACATATGGATACATCTACTTACTTTTTTGATGTGCGATTCAAATTCAATCGGGAGAGCACATACAGTTTCAAACGAAAAGATATCAAATTGCACTGTTCTTGCCAAATGTACAGGGTAAGTCGAAAAAAGCAGAACCCAAACCCAAAGAAATATATTTCATATTTGAAAAAAAAATATGTAGCACCAAAAATAATTTTGACTTGGAAGCCCATTTTATGTAACTAGTTCAAAGTGAGAAAATTATTTCAATTGCTTTTCACGTTAAAAGTTGATCACTATTTAAACGAAGTAACCCTTAAATCAGTTTTGTCCAAAAAAGAATATATATTGTGCGTTCTGACTGTTTGGAACAACAAAGAAAATGACACAGAATATTTGTTTCAACAACTGTAGCACACAATATCTTTATTAACAATCCTGCTTTGACTTGCAATAGGATTTATAAAATCAGCTTTTTTAAAGACGGGCCTTTTTAACTTTTAAACTGAGGTTTTATCATTGGTGATGTTGAAGACAATTTTAGGGCCCTGTCACACTTCTGCGTATCCTAATTCCTTATGAGTTGCGCATTGACATTTTTTTCATACGCAGTCGTACGCACAATACGCACCTCATATGCATCTCTATCGTTTTGTGTAGGTTTTATGTACGCAGATATACGCATGGTACGGCCCAGTACGCAGGATAGTTTTGGTCATGCACAAAACTACGCTGCGTACGCTGTTACGCAGGTCATAAGTTATAAATACGCAGCGCATTGGTCCCGCATCGGTCGAGTGCGTTACAAGTACGCTATGTGTTCGTGACGCACCCCGTCAGCATATGAGCCGCCTGTATTGGACGTATTCATAGCGTACTTGCAGCGCAGATGCAACGCACGCTGGACGGCAAGCGGCGGAAATGCGGGGGGAATACGCTCAGAAGTGCGTCAAGCATGCGGTCGGCATAAGTCGGGTGCATCCGGAATACGCTCGGCATGCACACTGCATACTGACCTATTCGCAGCTCGAAAAATAATGTTGTGCACTGCATACGCAACTCATACGCATCTCATACGCAATGGATGCGCTGAATTCATTAATTGTACGCTAGATGTGCGTCGCACATAAGTCAAAGTGATCAAAACATTTCGACGCTAATTGAGCGTACGGCTGCGTATGGACAATTTTTGATAAGGAACTCATAAGGAATTAGGATACGCAAAGGTGTGACAGGGGCTTTAACTACAATTTTTGAAATCGCATTTTTTGGAAGAGACAGATATAAGGGTCATTTTGTTTAAATGGTGATATTATTTCAATGGATTGAGCAATCGATATAATATTTTTCATCTAAAAGTAGTTTATGAAATTTGCTTACCAGTCATAATTATTTTGGTGCTACAGTTTTTTTTAAAATATGAAATATATTTCTTTGGGTTTGAGTTTTGCTCTTTTGACTCACCCTGTATCATCTCATGGGACTGTTGAAGAAAACAATTCCTCTCACTATATCCCAAGCAGTTTTTTGACATCGTTGTGATTAATTCCTTGTTCTAATTCCAGATGTTGCAACTTCTGATGGAACAGCTGTGAATGGTACAGACTATACGGCCGTTACTGACACCCTAGACTTTCAGCTGACTAACAACAGAGTCGCTTTGAGTGTTCCAATCATGGATAACGGCGTGGAAAACGAAGATTACGTATATTGTTTCACCTTGACATTGTCAAATCCAAATCCAGCTGGCACTCTTGGGGCAAACTCACAAGTCTGCATCATCGATAATGATAGTAAGAAATCCAACTATTTCTATGTGTTTAACCATAGTCATGTTAATTCTGTGGGTATATGTTTCCTCTTGTGCGCCCTAAAAGTTAGTCTTGAGTATCACCCGTTCTCCATGGAGCCCTATCTCTGGTCGAACGTCTGATATATCTAGGAATGCTAATTTATGCGACGCCGCGCGCCAGCCAATCGGAGTTGACCTTACTAGTTTGTGACATTTTCATTCCCAAATCAGGACTTAAACTGTGATTGGTTGATTCAGATGCAGTGTTTTTGAAATACACAAACGACCGAGCGTGCATAGATCTACAAAACCTAGACACGACCGTGATTGGCTCTATTATTCGCCGGCACATCGCATATTTCATCATCACAGAGCACGTGACCGCCGACTTTTTTGCTCCATTCTCAGCGTGTCTAGGTTTTATGAGACCCGATACAGAAAAGTGCCCACTGATTGTTCAAACTCTAGAGGTCAAGAGGTGGTTGTCTTGCATAATTAATCAGCAAATCGGCTTACAAGGGTCTATTGCATAGATTACCTGAAAGTCTGCTGTGTCCTTTTTTCATGCCTCAAAAGTTTAATTAGCTTTTTTTGTGTCTTCTCATGGTACTTTCTGTTTTGTTTTTGAACAAGTTTAGAACAAACAGCATGTAGCATTGAGACAGTCCAGATAGTTGCTTTCATTACATGCAGTGCATATTCATACCCACTAGTTCATACTGCCTATGGAGTAGACCTTTGCAAGCAGATTCGGCGATTAATTATGCAAAACAAGACTGTGACTTGACCTTGAGATTCTGACTATTCAGCGGGCACCTTGTATTGGGTCTTCCGTAACTTACTACTTACTTGCTGCACTTGACCATCAGTGGGTCGTAGTGCAAGGGAAAGGGCAAGGGACCAGCACTCGATTGGTGACAGCTGCACAGTATCCGCAACCTGCTTAAGCCAGGTAAGCTGGGGACGACCACGAGGCCTCATCCAGGTGGCAGGCCGTTGCCCAAGGTGAAACTGGACGGCAGCATCAAGGGCAAGACGAGCAGGGGCAGGAGCTTGGAGGCACCGAACATGACCAAAAAGGGTGTGTCGCCTCCCTGGGCCTCTCTTCTGTAACCTGTAGTTTTTAATAAAACATGTCAACTCAATCGACCAATCAACAGCTTAGTCCACATTTGTGATTGAAATGATGTTACGTTTCTAAAGTTGACTCCGATTGGCTGGCATAAAATTTGCTTGCTGCGATATATCAGACCATGATCATATGTGAGATATGAGAAAAAGGCAACTTCCAGCACAAAACGCAACTTCCGTGTATGTATTATGCATACTATTCCTTTTTTATAACACCTCACCTGCAGATTCTGTGTCTTGATTGGCCGAGAGCGAGTCACATGATACTTTCTATTTTTGCTATCTTTCTGTGCACGGCCAAAAGTACTATACCCGTATCAACCAAAGTACTATACAATTAGCAACCAAAGTACTATTTCCACGGGGCGGTATTTGTGTGCAAATGCATGCTGGTGTGCACATTGGGCGTTGCACGTAGCGTGTTTTGTTCCAAAGAGAGCGCGCCACAGAGTTGGGTTCAAACATTTCGCGAAAGGGGTAGTTTGGAAGAGAAGAAATACATTTTCTACCAATTTTGTATTGCAATTGAAGTTTATTTCAACTGCGTTCCGATTTAAATAATTTAAAATATTAAAACCAAGCAGAATCTGTTGGTGAAGTGTTATAAAACAAATATTGAATGCTTTATCTCGTGGTGAAGTAAAACTAGCTTCCTTCGGTGATCCATGGAGCATTCTATTTTCCCATGGATCACCTCGGGAGGCTAGTTTTACTACACCACTCGAAGCACTCAATATTTGTATAATATTGTATCCTTGGAGGGAAATTTTAATAAAGATCTTTTGGCAAATCTAAAGGTTATACCGGAAAGCTTTATGGAACTTTATAAAATAACTGAAGCATATGTTATATCTGTAAGACAAAATTACATGTACATGGATTTTTTTTTAAATGCATGCAAATGTGCAATGGTCATAACATAAGTGATTTACTTCAGGGCCTTACATTTTGTGTACACTTATTACTTGGTTTTCTGTAGATTACTTTGGTGGTACTTGCCCCCCACCGGAAGCTGTGATAGAATCCAATGGACAAGCAGTCATTGAGGTCAATGTCACCAGTGCTAGTGATACTGCTGTCATCACGTGGACCGACCCTACGCCTGCTGGTGTAGGGTGGACGTACACATGCTTCCCTATAGGGACGCCGCCTAGTAATGATTGTAACGACAGGGTTTCCTTTCCCATTTCATACACATTCACTTCTAATGGATACAACAGAAGGATTCTGGTCACATACACGGTCTATGCTACACTTATACCAACAGTGACATCGAAGCACTGTGAATTTTACCTGCGTGTTCTTGGTTAGTATATGTTCCCCGTGGCATTTTGTAAAATCATGGAGTCAGATTTCATACTTCATAAAACAAAGGAGCACAGTAGATATCCTTGAGTAGCCTATGTCCATACTGTCCGTGCTCACCAATACAGTTTTGTTGTTTATAGCTAACAAATCTCAACTTTGTTTCATTAAAAAAAAAAAAAAAAAACCACCCAGAAAATCTGTTGAAAGAGGTGCAAATTAACACTTTTGACAATTTTGGCATCCATTAGTCGACATAAAGCAAAAATGTGATGCGATCAAGCTAAATGAGTTGTTTGTCGGGAACTTTCATTTGGAGATTCAGGCCAAAATAGGGCCACTTCATCACATCACTTCATCACATCTCTTGGTGTTCCTACTGCCATAATTTTTTAACTAAAGATGGCACCAGCGTGCGGTTTTCACAGCAGTAATGCTGAGATTGTGCTCTTTTCAAATCTGTAAAAAAAACCCAAACAATTGACCAGGGTCGACAAACGACTCATTTATAGCTTGATCGCATCACAAATGTTGTTCAGTTACATTGACATGGACTCAGCAGTTATGACTGCTGTTATATATCCAGAAGTCAACCAAAAAGTTAAAATGTAGCCTCAAAAACAAATGCACACTGTGTATTGTGAATTCTCTTCAAGTAAACTTGAATCCTCGATCCTGATTGGTCGATCCATGGCAACAAACCGTGCTACATATTATCATGTAGCACAGCCACGGTCCATACCGCACTCCGCGTGTTGCGCTATTCCAAGATTCGCATGCCATTACACGCACGTGTAACAGGATAACCACTGAAAATCTTTTTAGTGCGTCAAGTTTGCTTGAAGATAAATTCATTATCACGCTTGCGCTCGTGGAACACGGAAAATGTAGTGCGTCTGTGTCCCACATGTGGGACACAGACGCACTACATTATTCCGTGTTTCACTCGCGCTGTTAGATATTTCTCACAGATCCCCACACCCGTTGAGTTACATATAGCTACAGTGATAACAAAGCTGCTCTTTGGCTTTTTTTTTACCTGAAAGATCCGTTCCCCCCGGAGATTACCTGCCCAAGTGATATTGTAGAAGCAGCAGGTGAAGGCATCATGAACGGCACGGCTGACTGGGTCGAACCAGTCGGCACAGACAACTCAGAAGTCACAACTAACTCGTATTCGCCGCCTTTGTTTCTGAACATCGGCTCCCATGAGTTCACCTACACCGCTGTGGACAGCTCTGGAAATGAAGCGTCCTGCTCTTTCAATGTTGCTATCACTGGTGAGTGCAGTCCATGTCCAAATCACCTGTCACTGGTTTGGGACCTAAAGGCAGAGAACATCAGTTGTCACTTGTGCATTTCTTTCCTTTGAAGCGACAAGAGTGCTCAAAATCTAAAGAAGGGTGCTCAACAACTAACCTGATGAAGTTTTAGCTCCGTGAATGCTGTATATTCCGAGAAAACAATATTCTAGGATCTTAATTTTATTTCAAAACTTGCCGAGTCATGTTTTGAATTGCGCTTGAAATCGGTGGCTGGGACATGTTCTCATTCAGCCGATTGCAGCTACTCGATGTCAAGCACTGAGCTGACGAACCATAGCAACTTAATGCTAAACTGACAAATGCTACCGAAAACAGTTGCACTTTTGTATACGTGCAAGGTGAGTGCAAACCACAACTTGCACGTATACAAAAGTGCAACTGTTTTCAATATCATTTGTCATAAATTGCATAATTTCATACACATTATTACTGTTTTGGGCCAAATAAAGAGTATGGCTAGATTTTTAAGGAATTTCTGTACTGATTAGTCATTATTTGAGCGAGAGGTGCTCAGTAGTTTGTGAGTTAGACAAAAAAGTATTGGAAGGGGGGACTTTCTTTTTTGGTTGAGTGTACTTGCATTTGAATATAACACAACTTTGATCATGTTGAGTTGATGCTAATTATGTTGTTTCAAATTTGAAATTCATAAATGCTTGAAAGCTTGCAATATTTTTTTTGCCATATTAAGATGGGACAGCCCCTGAGATAGATTGCCCAGCCAACATCGACACAGACACAGATCCCCAGCAGAGCTATGCCACGGTGATGTGGAATGCACCCAATGTCACGGATAATTCTGGTGAGGTGATCGAACCAGTGCTGTCTTCGGCATCCGGATCCACATTTGAAATAGGCAACCACACCGTGGAGGTAACTGCCACAGATTCCCACAACAACACCGGCATGTGCTCCTTCACCGTTATCGTTCGAGGTCAGTTTGTGCCAAATTTCTTTGATTTTAGTTTGAAATGTGAGTATTTCAACAGTGTAGCTGTTAAAGGGGCACATGGTCCTGAAATCCCTGAAAATTTGGTTTGGGATTGTTTCCTTAGCCTATTTCAAACATCTGGTTGAAAGGAAACCAACCTAATGTCTTACTGTTCCTGAGAAACGACAAAAAAAACCTTGCTACATCGGACATGATGGAGTACAAATACGTTTTTCGTGTTGTTCTCAGTGTACCATGTACACGTTGTGTTTCTTCAACATCCACAAAAGGCGAACACTTTACGAATGAAATCACAACTAGCATCCAAACAGCTCAAATTTATGGGGTCGCAAAAGTGGACCCTGAAATTCGTTCTTGCACGCATAGTACAAGAATAACACAAAAACGCCCAGTTTTGAAAGGATAGTTGTGTGGATCTCAAACTAGAGAGCCACTTGCAGTGTGCGTGGAAATCATGTTATTATTAAATATAGCACCCCACACAAATGATGTCGATTTTGCTCCGCGCCGTATGCGCGTATACCCGGTAGGTCAGACAAACTTTCCAACATGCATGCACATCTTGCCACATACATTCGCATAGAAACGGTGTTGCAAGCGTGCGCATAATCTCCACACAAGAAGTTCGTACAGCATGCTTGTCTGAGATCCGAGTACTTGTTTCTATTTTTAACTTTAGTGCGGAGTGCTATATTTGAGGGCGCAATACTAGCATCATCACAACGAACTGATTTCTTGGGCACACTTTACAACAGTTCAAAGCAAACCCTTCAAAGTACGAACACAAGCTAGAAAGTTTTGTGAACGAGAATCTAACTGGGTGTAATTCTGCATCATTTCTTTTAACGACAGATCTTGAACCTCCTGTGATCACGTGTCCAGCTAACATGACCGTTCCGACCAATGCAAGTGTAGACAACGTAACACTGGCACTTCCTGATCTGGCCTCGGCCTCCGACAACTTGGGAACATATGATGTCAAAATTGCCATCGCTGACATTCTGTACTCGGTGGGGGAGAGTGTAACGCTTTATCTTGCGACTGGCGAATATGCACTACAGTACAATGTTACTGACCCTGCAGGAAACAGCGAGAGTTGTTATACATTCCTCACCGTTGTCGGTAGGTACCCTTTACAAAATGTTTACCTGAACTAATTTGTCTAGCCTTTTGTTTTTTAGGAAATGGTTTGTTTCTTGCCATTTTGGTAAAAAAAATCTGGATAGTTGAGAATTTAGTTTAGCTAAGTTGCACAGGGTGAGTCCAAAAAAGCGGAACCCAAACCCAAACAATTATATTTCATATTTAAATAAATATGTATCAATAAAAATAATAATTACTGGAAAGGCAATTTCATAAGCTTCTTTTAGATGGAAAAAATGACTAAAATTGCACAATCTGTTCAAACAATATCACCATTTGAACACAATGACCGTAAAACCTCTTTCGTCCAAGAAAGCAATTTCAAGAATCATCATCACAATTGTCTTCAAAATCACTAGCAATAAAACTTTAGTATAAAAGTTAAACATATTCAACAACTTAGTCCTTTTGATGGCCTCTCTTTTAAAAACAGTGGATTTTAAATCAGGGTTGTTAATATAGATATTGTGTGCTACAGTTGTTGAAACAAGTATTTCGTGTCATTTTCTTTGTTGTTCGAAACAGTCAAATACACAAATTGGGTTTTTTTTGGGGAAAAAACAGGTTTGAGGGTGACTGCGTTTAAATGGTGAGATTCTTTGGATTGAGCAATTTAAGAATTTTTTTCATCTAAAGGAGCTTATGAACTTGGCTTTCTAGTCGGTATTGTTTATGATGCTACGTATTTTTTAAATATGAAATTAATTTTTGGGGTTTGTGTTCCACTTTTTTTGACTCGCCCCGTAGCTGGTGTTATAACCAACTGAAAACCATGTATTGTTTTTATTCAGATGAGGAGGCGCCTACCATCACCTGTCCATCAGTGGGTTCAAGCACCACAGATCTTGGCTTGCCAACTGCCAATGTATCCTTCCCTGATGCTACTGCCTCTGATAACTCCATGCTGGCAGTCACATTCAGTGCCAATGCCACATCCGATACCCCTTTCAATATCGGTGATACTGTTGTCCAGTTTGTCGCCACCGATAACAGCGGGAACACTGACGATTGCTTTTTCACCATCACAGTAATAGGTAATTTAAGAAGGGATTAAAGGTACAGTCCATCATTTGTAATTTGTGCATTTTGTTTGTTTGAAGCAACAGATGTGCTCAAAGTCTAAAGAAAGGTGCTGAACAACTAACCTGATGAAGTTTCAGAGAAAAACAACATTCTGGGATCTCGATTTCAAATCAAAAGTTGCTGAATCATGTTTTGCATTGGGCCTGAATTTCAATTTCGAGACACGTTCTCACTGAGCCGAATGCAGCTACGCGATGTTGCGCACTGAACCGACGAATTATAGCAACCCCGCGCTCTCGTGCATTGTGTCAATGCTTGCGCGCTTCGCTGAATAAAAAAACAAACTACCAACGGAAATTTTGTTGGAAAGGCCTTCTTTCGTTGATTACTTCAAAATGACAGCTTGCCAGAAAGAATAATTTCACAGAGAGTGTAATCCCGGTACTGTCTTTCAACCAAGTATGATTTTCAAAATTAATTGTCAGTTACTTTTTGGATAGCCGCAAATAATGGACTGTAGCTTTAAGAGGAGTTTTACAATCATAAATACTTCAGACAGTTTACCCATTATTGGTTGAGAGTTGGTCACGTGGGTGGTTTTAAACGGTTGATAAAACAAGTGATTTCAAAGACTTTTTTTTTCTAGTGTCACATGAATTTGGACTCCTACAAAATCTGGTCCCTTTTACTCTGTTATTGGTTGAACGTTCACCATATTCACTGAGGCATGCGTAATACTACCAATGAGTCCATATTTCATAGAGTCCTAAATTCACACTACACCGGCACCGCTGCATTCTGCGCCACATCGCGTAGTACATGCCACTTGCGTCCCAATATCCAAGGAGATTTTTAGTACTACTCGCAAGAGGCACATACCATAAACGTTACAAGCTAGTGTGGTGTTTCACAAAATGTGAAGTAAACTTGTTGAACAAATTGTTAGAAATTAACAATTTTTGACTTTTGCGATTTTTTGACTGCAAGGATATGCAAAGGGGAATAATGCGCTTGGCCAGTATTAAACAACTATGTTTAAAACCAGCTTGGGGCCTGACCACCAATAATGACCCTTGCCTTCAGCTCGGGCCATTATCGGTGTCCAGGCTCAAGCCCATTTTAAACACATATTCTTTTAATCATGACCAAGGATGGATGTGACTATTGTCAATGTATTAAGTTGAATGTGATGTGTAAAAAAGTGGCCTTTGATCCTTCCATTCTGAACAGTTTACCCAGAAAACCTTGAAAACCTTGTTCAAAATAAATTGAAACCTTGAAAACCTTGTTCAAAATAAATTGAAAGTGAACAAAAAAGGATCATAATGCAGTCGTTCAGATCAACTCCAGAGTCTAGTCAATGAAAAATTAATACATAAAGTTTACCAGTGGGAAACTCAAACTCTCTTAATGATTGATCTGAGTAATCTGTTCCTGATACTATATGGTACAGCATGACTCTGGAGGCCTGGTCTAGAACAGGTGTTTATCATCACAATGCTTTGATTTCAGGTGCTTTTATCTGAATTAGCATCTCAGATTCAATCAGGTATGTCTTCCATTCAATCAATCAGATGATGAGGACCCTGTGGTAGACTGCCCTATGAACATTGAAGTCGATGCAGACCTGGGACAGAACTACTCCACCGTGATGTGGCATGCTCCCAACGTGACTGATAACTCTGGTGAATCCATCACACCAACGCTGAGCCACAACTCAGGAGATCAGTTTCCATTTGGATTAACCACAGTCACTGTGAATGCCACCGACTCCAGTTTCAACGTTGGCTCGTGTGCCTTCACTGTTTATGTTCTAGGTATATTGATACTATGTTTTCGAAATCTGAAGTGAATTGTAAGACAAATGTAGAAAATTGGTTTAAAGTTGCACATGAGCATTGGTCAAATCTTCAACCTTATAATTATCAATTCAATGAAGTCCTTGGAATATTTTGCGAGATGCATTCTCATGACATAGTGATTAATGAATCTGATTTGTTAGTGTTACGTGATCTCACCTTAACCATGCGTACTTCACACAGTGGGGCATAGCACGAATGGAAATGGGTCATTCCACCAGGTTGGGACAGAGTGCATGTTTGACATCCATAAATTTGGTCATATTCTTAAAAGTATCAATGCATTCTAAACAATTGCGCAACATAATATTTGTCTAAGGGTGTTTCAGTACTTGAGAAAGTTTGAAATCATTTGAATGTACTTTGAAAAAAATATGAGCAAAAATGTATTATTCGGACGTAACACGGACACCATGTCATTGTTACATCCAAATATTCTTTGTTTGCCGTTTTTTTACACATATATGTAAAATATTACCCAAACTGACATTGCATATATAACAGGACACCTAATGCACCAAGAAAAGCTTTTGTTTTGGTATAGTCAGGGTTCAAATGTAACAGAAATGATACCTTAATGTTGACGTAACAGTGTCCAAATCACCCAATGGAAGTGTGACATTTGGGGTTGGACACGATGTCCGTGTTACATCCACAACCAAGCTATCATTTCTGCTCCATTTGATACCTGACTACCATAACAAAAGCTTTTCTTAGTGTGTTGCATGTAGTGTAATAAGTACATAAAGTGAATTTGGGTAAAGTTTTACAGAAATTAAAAAAAAATTGGTACAAATAAAATATTTGGATGTAACATGAACACAGTGTCAATGTTACGTCTGAATGACATTTTTGCTCATATTTTTGGCAATATACATTCAAATGATTTGAAACTTGCTACACCAGTGGAACACCCAACAACCAATATTATGTACAGCAACTGCAAGCAAGGCATTCATACTTTTCATAATATGGTCATATGTCACACATTGTGTCCCAACCCGGTGGAATGACCCAAATGGAAGTTGATGCAACTTGAGTGTTTAGCTAATGGGCCCTTTTAATCAGTGGTGTGTGTGTTATGACAAAGTCACTAACAAAACGAATAGAAGATACTGAAAACTTATGAATTTGAAACAAATTCAGAAAGAATGTAGTATCCTGATAAGGCCACTTGTTTGGTTGTGTTCAAAGTCTATGGAGAGTTGAGTGCATTTTCAAAGTATTTACTAATGTGACCCGGATATTGGTTCTTTATACAAGTTTATTTAACGGCAGGAAAAAGGGTTGATGGGTAAGTAGTACAAGGATGTGACAAGAACACTGAGCTCTTGACTAGGACTGAAGCTTGAGAATACATGTAGTGGGATGCTTGCACGATGATGGCTACGAATGAAAAGCTGATAGTTCAGACTGTTCACACTGACCACGTTGCAGGGCCTAGGATCCTCAGTGGGTGGCTGCAGCTAGGGCAACCAGTGGGACCTCCTTGTACCTCTGAGCTAAACTAGTCTTAAAGGGGCAGTGCACCGAAGTGCCTGGTCACACTACATTGGAAATGTTTCTCAGTCCCAGATTCAGGTTTTTTAAAACATTTTTGCAAAGACTGACCTCCATTGAGATATTATATGATGAAAAAATGGCGTCGGGATGCAGTATTCCTTCCCTAAGTCCTTACTTTAAAACTCCTGTCATGCAACTTGGATGACAGGCCTGTTTTTAAGGATGTCTAAACTTGTGAGATGGCAAGAACATTTGTTTTTGTCTTTTGCATGGAAACCTTGACATTGCCTTTGAACTAGAAATTATGATTTCAAAGTAAGATTCATCATAGAAAAGAACCTCTTTGATGTCTCTGGATGTTGACACCAGCAGATGTTTGGTTGAGTATAACAGCTAGGAATGAGATTTATTTCTCTGTTGTTTGCAGATCCTGAGCCTCCGATGATTACCTGCCCGGACAATCAAACGAGATCCACAGATCTGAATGTAAATCATGTCAGCCTTGCACTACCTGATGCAGCCTCTGCTTCTGACAACTCGGGATCATATGTCATCACCATTGATGTTGCTGGTTCTATATACAGCGTTGGTGACAGCGTTTCCCTTGACTTGGCTACTGGTCAACATTTACTGCAGTACATCATCAGAGACAATGCCTTGAATAACGATACGTGCGATATGTACATCACTGTGATTGGTAGGTGACATATTAATGATTGTACCAAATATCCGTATTATCAAGAAATCCTAATCGATAATCCTTGTAATTAAAGATCACCTTTTAGTAAAGAGCCCAAAGCTATTAGGTTGTAGTTCTGTGAGTTGCTTTACCTCAAGGATGGGCTAGTTGTGACTTGCTACAAAATGTATTATAGCGGGCAACTGTAGCACATTCGTAATGCTTTGTAATGTGCATGTACAGTACATGTTCAGTATGTACAGTGGAAATGTACAGTGGAAATGTACAGTGTATTGCAGCTTTCCTGTATCAATTTATGGAATGCATATACATACAGGGAGGGGGGGGGGGGGGTGTTGAAACTATTGCGTTTTTTGGGTGGGGGGTAAAAAAATAGTTGCTTTGTGCGTATTCCAGTTGACCATCTAGTCTTGTGAGTTTGAAACATGCCAAACCTACAGCCTGCATATATGTGCGTAGTCCAAAACTTTGGGATTCTCAATACTGCGCAGCCTGATGTGTGCCTTTTGATCCATGCACATATGATGCACACAACCTATTAACGTTCATCTAAATTTGCATGAAACTGTAGCGTTCTAAGCTTGTTGCGGAACTGGTACAGGACAAGGATTTCATGTACATGTCCATCCCTTTTTGTCTTTCTCACTGCTTGGGGTGGAAAAATATATGAGAACTTGTAGGGAAGTTTCACAATGTCTAATTCTCCTCTTGTGTCCCATTTGAATTCCAGATGATGAAGATCCAAGGATCACATGTCCAGCGGCAATGACAGTTCCTACTGATGCTGGCTTAGCCACAGCCAATGTAACCTGGGAGCTAGCCACTGTCGTGGATAACTCCATGCTGCCCATTACACCTGTAGACGATCCAGTATCTGGTTCAATCTTACCCATTGGTGATACTACAGTGCGGTTTAATGCTACGGATGAAAGCGGCAACAGTGCCTATTGTACCTTTGTGGTAACAGTTGAAGGTAGCGTAATTTGTCAACTCTTCCAGTTTTCCTTCGTGGTTCATTTGAAAATTTGTAATAAAAAGCTGTATCCTCTCCGAGTGATCGCTGTTTGCTATTTCCAAGGTCTGTATTGTGACTTAGGGCGTGATCCCTGGCTGTATGGCATACTGGTTTATGGCTTCTGACTAGCGCCCCTTGAACAAAGATATTGACTAATTAGGGAGCCACCAACATAGGGCTGGATAGCTCAGTTGGTAGAGCACCGGAACGATTATCCGGAGGTCGCAGGTTCAAGCTCCTCTCCAGTCAATTTCTTTGTTCAACTTTTAATTTTTTACAATTCACCTAGTCAGTTTCCCTGTGTGCTTCATTTGAAAAAAAAATTATATTTTGATCGGTAATACATTTTTGTGATCGCCTTATTTAAAGAAACTACACAATGATAAAAAGTGATAATTTCTTAAGAATATTTGCATGTAGTCGCTCTCAATTATTTCAGAAGTCGTTCGAACTTCATTAAAATCTTAGGATTAATGTGGTTTAGTGTGACTCCGGAACACCAGTCTGAAACGATAGTAAGAGAACTGTATTTCCATTTTTTGAAAGTTTCTAATTTGGTTGTTCAATTACAGATATGGAGCCGCCATCAATAAACTGCACAGATCTCACATTTTCAACATCACCTGGCTTACCAACTGCCTACGTGACTTACGATGAACCCCCTGCCACTGACAATGTTGGAGTGATGAATACCAATTGTTTCTATGTTGAGACTTCTGGGCAAGTACTCAGTGTCGGCATGCACCAAGCTATTTGTGTGGCTACTGACTCATCTGATGAGAGATTGACAGACGTATGCACTTTAATTATCACTGTTGAGGGTAAGTCACAATTTACGTTTTGTCATGATGTATGCTGTTGTCAGATCTGTAATTTTTCTTACGGAGTTACTGTTAATGTGACTCAAAATGAGATCACAGTTGCGTATTACAAAGACATTCTTCCTTTTAGTCGTCGTACAGCGGCTTAAAACTTTGTAAATTTTTGTAGTTATTTTTTAGCTGCGGGTAGCAGCGCAACAAATCATCTTGTCTCTCTGTTTGTCCATTTGTTAGTTAACTTTGTACATAGTTCGTAACAAATGTTGACATTGTCTATTGCTCCTACATACTTTGACTGATTTTAACCAAACTTTGTCAAAAATATCAGTAGCCCAGCCCCAACATGTCACATGACCGAACTAGGTTCAAAGGACATAGGTCAAAATAACATCACATTTCAGAGAAGCTCAAAGACAAAAGTAGGTCAAGGTCAAAATAGCCTCAAATTTCAAAGAAGCTCAAATGCCAAAAGTAGCGCTGTCAACATGTTGGCCTTGGTCAAACATTAAAAAATGTCCATGGTGATCGGCTGACTTACAGTTGTGGGGTCAAAGGTCAAAAAAGGTTAAATTTCAAAGAGGCTTAAATAACAACAGTATTGCGATGCATGTCAACATGCTGGCCTTGGCCAAACATTAAAAACTGTTTATGGTGACCTCTTTATTTGACCTGTAGCTATGGGGTCTAAGGTCAACACGTCAAGTAAGGTGAACACGAACTTGTTGGCCCATATGGAGAACTTTGCCACCCATATGTGCACAAAATCGAAGCCCTGCATACTCTGCGGTCACACACAAAGGTGCATTGACTCGGATACCTTCACAGCCCCATTGCGTAGACCGGATTATACATAAACAGCGCAGGTCGATCCTCAGAACAAAAGCGATGTCTGATTTGACAAGAAAAGTGCCCCTTTTTCTTCTCAACCAATCAAAACGGTTGTAACATGAAAGGGAAGCTTATTGTGTTCTCTTTCAGAAATCATGCGAAGTAATTGTATGCGACCGGGTTCACACGTGTGCCGTTCGAAGAAGTAAACCCGCACCCTCAAAACTCGGGGAAATGTGCCGTGACCTCCATAGGAAACGCGAAATTTTCACTGAGTTGCCCGTTTTTCAATGAAAAAGTGCACATAATTATTCGCCTTTAATCATGAAGATATTGCATTCATGTGAAAGAGGAAAATCTATTCTTTGTGATGCAATGCGAGGGAGTACGTTTAACCGACACACTTTCCGCATCTTAACGAAAGTTTGCTCAGAGCGCCTAGACATGAGCCAGTCTTCCCACGTAAACAGAGCTGCACTAGTGGCAAGTGAGCAAATGCTCCCTAGTTCTCCATATCCTCAGCTTCCAAAATCCGATCGAACTTGTTCAAGTATCAGATCATCAAATCATATTTCTCCATTGTCCATTGTTTCATCCTGTTTACACAGATAACGAAACTCCCAACATCACCTGTCCTGCCAATGAGACAGTTGCCACTGATGGCGGTGCAGCTGTGGCTACATTTGTCTTACCGGATCTAGACTCTAGTGTTGACAACACTGAGAACTTCACCGTCTCCATTGATGTCGCTGGTGCCCAGTATGACATTGGTGACAATGTAACGCTGAGCCTGGCTACCGGTGTGCATCTGTTGCAGTACACTGCAACTGACTCTTACAATAACAGTGAAATGTGCGATATGTTCGTAACTGTGATTGGTAGGTGATCCTTTTCTGATTAAATTATTCTTGTGACTGTGCCAACCTTGGTACTATTTGGATAGGTGACACTTTTGGGGGATAACCTTATATGTGTCCTTGAATTTAGAACAAAGACTTAGAAAAAAGCATAGAGCTATATTAAATTACTAGCGCGCTAACTTCGTGTACAAAGTAATACCTGCTGGGCGCATCCATGTTTGTGCACAAACCTATGGAGACCTAGAAATTTTGTACGGCTTTTGTACGGCTATTTGCATATCTGCGTTTGTATTCCAAACCGGTGCGTTATGGAAGCCAATATACGCCCAAAACCAAAATGCACGATCAGCAAATGAGCGTGTCATTTTGCTCTATGCAAACAGCGCAGCGCGTATTCGCTGCAGAAGCTTTTTGCCGTAATGTTTTTGAACCGTCAATAACGTGCTTAAGTTGTTTGCGTATGTTCTACTTGCGCGTTGCATGTAGAGTACACTTTCAAAATTCAATCCATCTAATTTCATTACATTCTACGAACACCCACATGAATTAAAAATGTCTGCGCCCACGACGGCTTCAAAGCGTCTTCGCGCGCAGAATGAGGAGTTAGCGCTCTAGTAATTTAATATAGCTCTATGAAAAAAACCTACTTTTTGACATGTTGCTTAGGTATTTGTTGTTTTCATTTGACTTCCTTAAATTTGAGTAAAGTGAAATAGATTTAGACTAAAACCTTGAAATAATGTTGTTTATTAAATCTGAATGCACTTCAAAAAGTTATAGATATAACGCTTACTTTTTTTCGGCTTTTAAATTTTTTTGGAAGTTGGAAAACACTAAGAACTTTTGAGTTGATCATATAGTCTCATACGTTTGGCACATGGCAGACAGTACAGCTTGCATGTGTGTACTGATCCATGCACATATGTGATGCGATCAGGCTAAATGAGTCGTTTGTCAGGAATTTTCATTTGGAGATTTTGGCCAAAATAGGGCCACTTCATCACATCAATTCATCACATCTCTGGGTGTTCTGACTTCCATAATTTTTGAACTAAAGATGGTACAAGCATGTGGTTTTTACAGCAGTAATGCTGAGATTGTGCTCTTTTCAAATCTGCAAAAAAACAATTGACCAGGGTCAACAAACGACTCATTTAGCTTGATCGCATCACATATGATGCACAAAAACTAGTAGATATTAATGTTAATAAATTTGCACAATACTGTAGCATCTTTTCTGCGGCACTGGTTGTACAACGTGATAACTCCTTTTTCTCTTTCGCACTGCTTTGTGGTGGGGATACATATGGTCAAAACGGAAGTTTTTCAATGTCTCATTCTCCTCTTGTATCCCATTTGAATTCCAGATGATGAAGATCCAATGATCACATGTCCAGCGGCAAAGACAGTTCCTAATGATGTTGGCCTAGCCACAGCCAATGTAACCTGGGAGCTAGCCACTGTCATGGATAACTCCATGCTGCCCATTACACCTGTGGATGATCCAGTATCTGGTTCAATCTTACCCATTGGTGATACTACAGTGCGGTTTAATGCTACGGATGAAAGCGGCAACACTGCCTATTGTACCTTTGTGGTAACAGTCGAAGGTAAAAAAATCACTCAACTTTGTTCCTCTTTTATCAAATCCGCAAATGCTTCAAGTCACTTTGCGTTTGTTGTTCATACCAAATACTTAAATCAATAATCTTTTTTTTTTTGCAGGTATTTATATACCCGCCTTCTTTCCAAGTCTTTCAAGACTCGTTGTTATGAAACTAGTTTTAACCTCCAACCCCTGAAAATTCAGGGTCAAGTATCTTGTAACTTGGTTTTTTCACCCTAAGAAAGAATTTGGGTGATTCAAATGCAGTGCGCCACTAAGAGTTTGCCATGAAGAGTTCATTTTTTTCTGAGTGCATTGTGGAACATGGTTGACAAATTCGTAGTGCGGGACATTTGAAATTGTTCGTTTCCCCGTCGGTAGTTTCTTATGCGAATGATTCGAGGATCTGTTTGCCCTTTTCTTTGCATTTTTTCAATACTGTGGTTTTTTTTGTAGGGTGGCAGAATGCTATGCCCCAATCTGTATCAAATTCGCTCAAGTTGTCTACTGACACTCGTTCAAATCTGCCATGTTTTGTCGAACGTAAACTTGAAAAAGGACTCTCCATAGCAAACTCTTGGTGGCGCACTGCATTGTGAATCGCCCAAATTGCAAGGACAAATATGGACTTGGAGCAGTCTTCTTTACACACTAGCCTCAAATACTTTATTGCTTGACCTGTAATGCAATTTATTGTGGCAGTCCCAATTCTAAAACATCTTTGCTTGTTAAACCACAATAAAAAAACAACCATTTTGTGCTATCTACCGCTCAAAGATGTGAAGTACCGGTAATAGCCTGGTATCTTCTTCAATCCAACAAATAGATCTATCACGGCTGGCCACGATGCTTCCATCGCATACACTATCACCATAACCTTTGTCTGGCTGTCAAAGTTCTTATTTTACAGCAATTCATTTCAGTTGCTAATTATCATTCATTCAATCAGATGATGAGGACCCTGTAGTAGACTGTCCTATGGACATTGAAGTCGAAGCAGACCCTGGACAGAACTACGCCACCGTGATGTGGTATTCTCCCAACGTGACTGATAACTCTGGTGAATCCATCACACCAACGCTGAGCCACAACTCAGGAGATCAGTTTCCATTTGGATTAACCACAGTCACTGTGAATGCCACCGACTCCAGTTTCAACGTTGGCTCGTGTTCCTTCACTGTTAATGTTCTAGGTATGTTGATACAAGTTTTCAGAATCCCGGAGAAAAAAAAAGTGAGGAACTCTGTTGTTATTGCAAATTATGGCAACAAACACCTTTAATGCAAAATTAAAAAAAAAAATCATTATCAATTTGAATTTTCTTGAGCTACAATGATAATTACAATGCATTCCTTTGTTTTAACACACTCATGTAATTTGTATTGGACAATGTGCATGTTGTAATGTTGACAGTCCCAAACTGTTTTACCGCAAACGCACATTTAATTACACATAACAACGGAAAATGAGATGATAGATTTGGTTTTGATTTTTCAGATCTTGAGCCTCCGATGATTACCTGCCCGGACAATCAAACGAATTCCACGGATCTCAGTGCAGATGATGTCGCAGTTGCACTACCTGATGCAGCCTCTGCTTCTGACAACTCGGGATCATATGTCATCACCATCGACGTTGCTGGTTCTACATACATGGTCGGCAACAGTGTTACCCTCGACTTGGCTACTGGTCAACATTTACTGCAGTACATCATCAGTGACAATGCCTTGAATAATAACACATGCGATATGTTCATCACTGTGATTGGTGAGTGACGAAAATAACTCAAATGAGTTATCCGTCATCAAACAAATAATCTTTCAACTAACAATCCTTTCAAGAGACTTCTTCAGATCAGATTTCTTGTTGGATCCGAAGCTTGCTTGTAAAACTGGCTTTTAGGAATCACACTGATTACTGGATGTTTACCTTTTGCTGCTTTTTTCGAGTATGAGGGAAATGGTACTCATCTTCCAGCTAGTCAAACCTCTAATTCTACAGGATTGGAGTCCTTATTTTCATCATCAATATCACCTGCATCAAACAGTAATGCTAGTAACAACCCGAAGTTTATAACTGCATTTCAGAGCAAGTGAAAGTGTACAAGCTTTCTCTGAAGTAGTCATTTTGCTGTCAGCCCTCTTTGAAGTTGAGACGTACCGAATCACAGTTCAAGGAATTATCCTCAGAGCCCTAGCTGTGAGATGACAAGAGCGTTATTATCTTGTAATAAAATTTACCATTTCGTGTGGGTGTTGTTTCAGCAAGATTAGAATGAGGCAGCACTCTAATATTACCGCCTCGCTCGCTGCGAGCAGGTTGCTGACAGATATTTCCGGCCTCGCTCCCTGCGTGATTATCTGTGATCCGTTCCAAATGCTGCAAAACTTTTGCGTGTATACACGGCCTCCGGTGCGAACTGGTTTAAGCCCTTTTTTCCACAACACCCAAGAAAATTTTATAAAGAACTAAATAATAATAAGTTACAGTGCTTGAAAACTTCTTTAATGCTTGCGGAATCTTACAATGTAATCGTGTGAAAAGACACCCCATGATAGAACATGACCAACATCCCTGGTGAAGTTATAACTCTCAGTTCATGGGAGCTTTTGGAGGAGGTATTGACCTACGAGAACGAACTATTCCCAAGGTACCCATGACAAACGAATTCTCATTTACGCCATTCCCGATCTTGTATCCCATTTGAATCCAGATGATGAAGATCCAAGGATCACATGTCCAGCGGCAAAGACAGTTCCTACTGATGATGGCTTAGCCACAGCCAATGTAACCTGGGAGCTAGCCACTGTCATGGATAACTCCATGCTGCCCATTACACCTGTAGACGATCCAGTATCTGGTTCATTCTTACCCATTGGTGATACTACAGTGCGGTTTAATGCTACGGATGAAAGCGGCAACAGTGCCTATTGTACCTTTGTGGTAACAGTTGAAGGTAAAAAAGTCGCTAAATCTTTTTCTCTTTTATATCCAATCCACAAATGCTTCAAGTCACTTTGAGTATAATTTTCAAACCAAATACTACAATCGATAATGTGGTTTATTTTACAAGGCATTTCCATACAGGCAGGTAACCATGGTTTAGTTTGCACGTTGCAGTGGTGAGAAAAGGGCATAGCTGTGCCGAAAGATACTCAGGTTTTCTTCACCAAACACCCTGCCTCTGTAAATTAAGAAAGTTGGGGGCGGGGCTTGACACCTTCCAGTGGAGGCACTGTTCAAATCAGAAACTTTCGGACAATAGATGGCGCTCTTCACACACGGTACCACATTTGCAGGACGTAAACAAGGCACTCGTGAAAAAAGGCGCTCGTGTGAAAGGAAACTTGTGAAAAAGGGCAGTTAACAGAAAATGTTGAGTTGCAAAATAGACTTGTCATCCTGTTTACCACTTTCACTAGTCCCACTTGCAATTTGTTCTATTGCAGTCCTGATTTTGCTTTTGAAATCTCCATCCCGTTGCAATCTGCCAATCTGCATCCCCCCGTTTACGCTACTGTTTCTTTCCTCTGCCCTCGTCCGATGTCTTTCAAAACTCCTCATTATAAAACTAGGGGTCTTAATCTCCGATCCTCTGAAACTTCAGCATCAACTTTCTTGTAATTTGGTACGGTCACACTAAGCAAGAGTTACAATGACACTTATTAAACTGACAACTGTCTTTCTTCACACTGAGTGTCAAGAAGTGTGAGATATCTCAGACAAGATCAGGGAGAGAAGGATGGCCCGGCAGGCCATAGTGTCTGCCACCCGTGCTTGCAGCCGACTCAATGGACTGCCAGGAGGGGGCAGAGGCAAGTGGCGTACATTGACACGCTGCGACGGGACGTTGGTCTCAGTGACAGGGGGAAGCTGAAGACACTAATGTTGTATAGGGAAGAGTGGAGGGCGGCAACCAAGTCCCGAGATGGTGTCGCCTGAATCCTCTTATCGCATCACAGTGTGAGTTGAGCAATTCATTTAAATTGTTTTGTCTTTCATTCAAATCAGATGATGAGGACCCTGTGGTAGACTGCCCTATGGACATTGAAGTCGATGCAGACCCTGGACAGAACTATGCCACCGTGATGTGGCATGCTCCCAACGTGACTGATAACTCTGGTGAATCCATCACACCAACGCTGAGCCAGGACTCAGGAGATCAGTTTCCATTTGGATTAACCACAGTCACTGTCAATGCCACCGACTCCAGTTTCAACCTTGGCTCGTGTTCCTTCACTGTTAATGTTCTAGGTATGTTGATACAAGTTTTCAGAATTCCAGAGAAAAAAAGCGAGGAACTCTGTTGTTATTGCAAATTATGGCAACAAACACCTTTAATGCAAAATTAAAAAAAAAACATTCATTATCTGTAACACGAAGCACTCTTGAATCTGAATTTTCTTGAGCTACAATGATAATTACAATGCATTCCTTTGTTTTAACACACTCATGTAATTTGTATTGGACAATGTGCATGTTGTAATGTTGACAGTCCCGAACTGTTTTACCGCAAACGCACATTTAATTACACATAACAAGGGAAAATGAGATGATAGATTTGGTTTTGATTTTTCAGATCTTGAGCCTCCGATGATTACCTGCCCGGACAATCAAACGAATTCCACGGATCTCAGTGCAGATGATGTCGCAGTTGCACTACCTGATGCAGCCTCTGCTTCTGACAACTCGGGATCATATGTCATCACCATCGACGTTGCTGGTACTACACACATGGTCGGCAACAGTGTTACCCTCGACTTGGCTACTGGTCAACATTTACTGCAGTACATCATCAGTGACAATGCCTTGAATAATAACACATGCGATATGTTCATCACTGTGATTGGTGAGTGACGAAAATAACTCAAATGAGTTATCCGTCATCAAACAAATAATCTTTCAACTAACAATCCTTCCAAGAGACTTCTTCAGATCAGATTTCTTGTTGGATCCGAAGCTTGCTTGTAAAACTGGCTTTAGGAATCGCACTGGTTACTGGATGTTTACCTTTTGCTGCTTTATTCGAGTATGAGGGAAATGGTACTCATCTTCCAGCTAGACAAACCGCTAATTCTTTAGGATTGGGGTCCTTATTTTCATCATCAATATCACCTGCATCAAACAGTAATGCTAGTAACAACCCGAAGCTTATAACTGCATTTCAGAGCAAGTGAAAGTGTACAAGCTTTCTCTGAAGTAGTCATTTTGCTGTCAGCCCTCATTGAAGTTGAGACCTACCGAATCACAGTTCAAGGAATTATCCTCAGAGCCCTAGCTGTTAGATGACAAGAGCATTATTATCTTGTAATAAAATTTACCATCTCGTGTGGGTATTATTCATCGGCGGCGGAACACTTTTAAAAGTGGGGGGCAAGGTCCAGTTACTGTTCCCGGAGCAGGATTAAAGCAAAATCAAAGCAAATGGGAAAAGGGTGAAGTTGGTCCGAAACGTGTGACATACGTATGTTTACTGCGGCTTATACACAGGGCGGCTTATACGCTGAGCCTTGAAGAATAAAAATAAGATTCACATGTGTAGTTAATGTACTGGTATAAGAAGAGAGGTGTTGCTGAAATGAATTATCAGTTAAAAAGTCATTAACAAACCGAAACCAAGGTACCGAGCGGTAAAAAGTACGGTGAAAGCTGTCATCGACGCTTGTGACCAGCCGTACGTGATACCATGGGTGGTGTGCAGCTAGCTGCATGCTTTCTCCCTGCGGACCACACCATTTGTGGTAATGAAGGAGTGTACTTTCTTGGGAACAATAATTACCGATATTTCTGCATTTAAAAAAAAGGAAAAAAGACGACTAATACTTTTTATTGTGTTCGAAACATTTCTTTATTAGATTATAAGTTGTTTAACGTCACAGTATATATATTTTTTTGAAACAAATTCAAGAAACGATGTAAAACTCAAAACAGGGACTAAATCACTCCTTACAAAATTAATGGATTCGTCCATAAAAATGTCAGCATCGTTTCCTACGGCGCTAAAGGGTCTTAGGTTTTGACTTTTTTTGAAGAAAGTAACGATCGAAACTTGAATTTTCTACGTTATTATTCGCTAGTATTAACACAAATTTGAAAAGTTTTGAGGTAAAAACGGACCTGTTTATTCTTAAAGGTAGAGTCCATCATTTGTAATTTGTGCATTTTGTTCGTTTGAAGCAACAAAAGAGTTCAAAATCTAATGAAGGATACTGAGCAACTAACCTGATGAAGTTTCAACTAAGCTTCAGCTGTACATTCCGAGAAAAACAGCATTCTAAGATCTCAATTTCAAATCAAAAGTTGCTGAATCATGTTTTGAATTGTTTTGAATTGCAACTATACGCGACGTCGCGCACTGATCCGACGAATTATAACAACCGCGCGCGCGTGTGCGTCGTTCGAATACTTGTGCGCGCTGCACTGAATAACAAAACGAACTACTAATTTAAATTTTCCTACGGTGCTTCTTAAGAATCACCGTTGGAAATGCCTTCTTTTGTTGATTACTTCAAAATGACAGCTTCCCAGAAAGAATAATTTCACAGGGAGTTTAGCCCCTTACTATCTTTCAACCAAGTTAGTTTTCCAACAATAATTACGCCAGTTACTTTTCGGATGGCTGCAAATGATGGACTCTACCTTTAAGACAAAACAAGTCAGCATCTGTTGCCACAAAAGCAAGATTTGTAGCGCCCCAGTCAGACAACACACGGTGGGTTGTATACTCTCTCACGTACTGCGGGAAAATGTTGGCATTCACCGGCGCGGCACAGGCTGCACATGCACTAACTTTTAAGGCCGGGGACCGGGACAGGGCAGCCGGCAGCAGTTCCCGGTGTTTATTTCTCATCATCAATTTCCATATTTGTTTGTAAGAGTATCGATTGAAAATGATTTGATATAAATTTTGTGGCCCTTTTTATAGCTTCTGTAGTGTAACTGGAACTGGTCCAGAGCTTTTTGAATAGAATTTTTGGAGGCCTTACAAAATTGAAACCACTGCGGTGGGTGCGGCTTATATACGCCGACTTCAGATCTTAATTTGCAGATTTTTGCGTGCTGCGGCTTATACACCGCGCGGCTTATATTCCGAAAAATTGCAGTATATCCCTATTTTTCGAATCATTTTTCTAATTTTGTGTCGCCATACTCACTTAGGTATAAGGCCTATTGTCAAATTTCAATTGTCAAATGTCAATCGCTTTTCGAAAGTGGGGGAACATACCTTGATCAGAACTGACGCGGGCGTGAAGCGCGAAGCCCTTGAGGCGTGGGGTTCGTGGCCCGCTTAAGGGCCCCGAAAAAAATTTGGATTCTAGATACTCTGTGGTGCGATCTGCGGCAATTTCTGACCACTTTAACCAATATTTTCTGAGCAAAAGATACATTGTAGTACATAATACTATTAATACGGCCCTATAAATGAGACACGTGTTCAAAAATCTTTTTTTACCTCTTGTATCATTTTAATTAACCTCGTTTTTTAAAAATCGCTCCTGGTAAAAAGTGGGGGGGGGGGCAAAATAGCTACCTTTTCAAAAGTGGGGGGGCAACTGCCCCCTCTGCCCCCCCTGCCCCCCCCCTCTGCCCCCCCCCCCCCCCCCCCCCCCCCCGGTTCCGCTGCCGGTGGTATTATTTCAGCAAGATTGGAACAAGGCAGCACACTCATATTTCTGGCCTCGCTCGCTGCGAGCGGGTCGCTGACAGATATTTCCGGCCTCGCTCCCTGCATGATTATCTATGATCCGTTCCAAATGCTGCAAACCTTTTGCGTGTATACACGGCCTCCGGTGCGAACTGGTTTAAGCCCTTTTTTCCTCAACACCCAAAAAAATTTCAACAAATATTATAAAGAACTAAATAATAATAAGTTACAGTGCTTGAAAACTCTTCTAATGCTTGCAGAATCTTACAATGTAATCGTGTGAAAAGACATGATAGAACATGACCAACATCCCTGGTGAAGTTATAACTCTCAGTTCATGGGAGCTTTTGGAGGAGGTATTGACCTACGAGAACGAACTATTCCCAAGGTACCCATGACAAACGAATTCTCATTTATACCATTCCCGATCTTGTATCCCATTTGAATCCAGATGATGAAGATCCAAGGATCACATGTCCAGCGGCAAAGACAGTTCCTACTGATGATGGCTTAGCCACAGCCAATGTAACCTGGGAGCTAGCCACTGTCATGGATAACTCCATGCTGCCCATTACACCTGTAGATGATCCAGTATCTGGTTCATTCTTACCCATTGGTGATACTACAGTGCGGTTTAATGCTACGGATGAAAGCGGCAACAGTGCCTATTGTACCTTTGTGGTAACAGTTGAAGGTAAAAAAGTCGCTAAATCTTTTTCCTCTTTTTTCCAATCCACAAATGCTTCAAGTCACTTTGAGTATAATTTTCAAACCAAATACTACAATCGATAATGTGGTTTATTTTACAAGGCATTTCCATACAGGCACGTAACCATAGTTTAGTTTGCACGTTGCAGTGGTGAGAAAAGGGCATAGCTGTGCCGAAAGATACTCAGGTTTTCTTCACCAAACACCCTGCCTCTGTAAATTAAGAAAGTTGGGGGCGGGGCTTGACACCTTCCAGTGGAGGTGCTGTTCATATCAGAAACTTTCGGACAATAGATGGCGCTCTTCACACACGGTACCACATTTGCGGGACGTTAACAAGGCACTCGTGAAAAAAGGGCGCTCGTGTGAAAGGAAACTTGTGAAAAAGGGCAGTTAACAGAAAATGTTGAGTTGCAAAATAGACTTGTCATCCTGTTTACCACTTTCACTAGTCCCACTTTCAATTTGTTCTATTGCAGTCCTGATTTTGCTTTTGAAATCTCCATCCTGCTGCAATCTTCCAATCTGCATCCCCCCGATTACGCTACTGTTTCTTTCCTCTGCCCTCGTCCGATGTCTTTCAAGACTCCTCATTATAAAACTAGGGTCTTAATCTCCGATCCTCTGAAACTTCAGCATCAACTTTCTTGTAATTTGGTATGGTCACACTAAGCAAGAGTTACAATGACACTTATTAAACTGACAACTGTCTTTCTTCACACTGAGTGTCAAGAAGTGTGAGATATCTCAGACAAGATCAGGGAGAGAAGGATGGCCCGGCAGGCCATAGTGTCTGCCACCCGTGCTTGCAGCCGACTCAATGGACTGCCAGGAGGGGGCAGAGGCAAGTGGCGTACATTGACACGCTGCGACGGGACGTTGGTCTCAGTGACAGGGGGAAGCTGAAGACCCTAATGTTGTATAGGGAAGAGTGGAGGGCGGCAACCAAGTCCCGTGATGGTGTCGCCTGAATCCTCTTATCGCATCACAGTGTGAGTTTGAGCAATTCATTTAAATTGTTTTGTCTTTCATGCAATCAGATGATGAGGACCCTGTGGTAGACTGCCCTATGGACATTGAAGTCGATACAGACCTGGGACAGAACTATGCCACCGTGATGTGGCATGCTCCCAACGTGACTGATAACTCTGGTGAATCCATCACACCAACGCTGAGCCACAACTCAGGAGATCAGTTTCCATTTGGATTAACCACAGTCACTGTCAATGCCACCGACTCCAGTTTCAACCTTGGCTCGTGTTCCTTCACTGTTAATGTTCTAGGTACGTTGATACTAGTTTTCAGAATTCCGGAGAAAAAAAACCCGAGGAACTCCGTTGTTATTGCAAATTATGGCAACAAACACCTTTAATGCAAAATTTAAAAAAAAATTCATTATCTGTAACACGAAGCACTCTTGAATCTGAATTTTCTTGAGCTACAATGATAATTACAATGCATTCCTTTGTTTTAACACACTCATGTAATTTGTATTGGACAATGTGCATGTTGTTATGTTGACAGTCCCAAACTGTTTTACCGCAAACGCACATTTAATTACACATAACAACGGAAAATGAGATGATAGATTTGGTTTTGATTTTTCAGATCTTGAGCCTCCGATGATTATCTGCCCGGAGAATCAAACGAATTCCACGGATCTCAATGCAGATGATGTCATAGTTGCACTACCTGATGCAGCCTCTGCTTCTGACAACTCGGGATCATATGTCATCACCATCGACGTTGCTGGTTCTACATACATGGTCGGCGACAGTGTTACCCTCAACTTGGCTACTGGTCAACATTTACTGCAGTACATCATCAGTGACAATGCCATGAATAATAACACATGCGATATGTTCATCACTGTGATTGGTGAGTGGCGTAAATAACTCAAATGAGTTATCCGTCATCAAACAAATAATCCTTCAAATAATTATCCTTCCAAGAGTCTTGTGCAGATCAGATTTTCTTGTTGGATCCGAAGTTTGCTTGTCAAAGTTTCCACTGGCTTTGGGAATCTCACTGATTAGTGGTTTTTTTACTCTTTGCTGCTTTGTTCAAGTATGAGTAAAATGCTAAACATTATTATGTTATTCCAGAAAAAAATAATAGACTGAAGTCCCCCCCCCCCCTTAATACTTTTTTGACTAACTCAAAAACTACTGGGCACATCTTGTGGAACTGAAAAAAAAAGTTGCACTTTTTATTTTTTAATTTTTTAAAAATTTTTATGTCTTTCTGGTAATGAAACCAAGGATTCCTCAAAAGTCCCCTAGGCACTGTAGCTCGCAAGCCTGAAGAAACCTATAGAGAGGAGACAATGAGAAGAAATTACAGTTTTAGAGGTGGGAAGAAAAACCCAGAAGAATATTCTGGGGAAAACCCACAGAATCAGGTAGAGACTGAAAACCCAATCCACATATTGGCCCAGACGGGATTCGAACCCGGGTCACAGCGGTGGAGGCGAGGAAAGTACCGCTACGCCAACCTGACTCCCCCATGTATACATGCAACGTGAGTGCGAACCACAACTTGCACATATACAAAAGTGCAACTGTTTTAGATATCATTTGTCAAAGATGTCCTAAATTCGTACACGTTATCACTGTTTTGGTTCGAATAAAGAGTATGGTACGCACCTTCCAAATGGGGGCGCTCTTCAAAACTGACCATTATTCATTTTCACAGCGCATTGCATTGGAATGTTTTTTGAGTGGGTTTTCTTTTTTTGGAATTGATGTCAGAACTCTCTTACCATTTATTGAAATCATAGGACAAGGAACTCCCTCTATGTTGAAATAATTGCTGAAAACAAAAACATTGTAAAAAATCTGCTGGGGGGGGGGCAAAGTGCCCCCCCCCCCCCCCCCCCCCCCCCCCCCCCCCCCCCCCCCCCCCCCCCCCCCCCCCCCCCCCCCCCCCCCCCCCCCCCGCGGATATGCCACTGGTATGGCTGGATTGCTAAGGAATGTCTGTAAAAAGTAGTCGTTATTTAAGTGCGAGGTGCTCAGCAGTTTTTGAGTTAAACAAAAAAAAGGATTGGAAGGGGGGGACTTTCTTTTTTGGTTGAGTGTGTAACAGAAGTGCGAAAACAAATGTTTTACTAAATTGAGTTCAATTGTAAATCACTTACTGCATTGATCTTTAGGCCTATGTAATCAACTTGGAGTGACATGTAGCATTTTTAGATGTGGGAAAGCAGCTCAACAAATCATCATGTCTCTCTGTTAGTCCGTTAGTTAATAACAAATGTTGACATTGTCTATTGCTCCTACATTATTTTGACCGATTCCAACCAAACTTTGTCAAATGTATCAGTAGCCAGCCCAAACATGTCACATGACCAAATACTGGGGTCAAAGGTCATCATGGGGTCACTGGAGTCAAAAACAATTTATTTTTTACACTTAAGGCAAAACACTACTCCTGCCAGAAATTACATGGCACAATCACGTAACTCATGCATGAACACGAATTCGTCGGCCCACAGCTTCCGAGATATTTCTGATCGAGCTTGTTTTTCCTCAAAATCCGACGTTAAAACAGAACTGGCAAAATTTTAAAGGTATTTATTTTGTTTTTCTTGGTGCTTCCATTTTATTTGTCATTGACGGTTTAAATTGTGCGCACCAAAAGTTAAACTTTTATTCAATTTACCCCCAAAGATGAAGAAGATCCGGTTCTGACGTGTCCCGAGGACCAGATGGTCGTGGTTCCGGACAACCAATTGGAAGCCACCGTCACCTGGCTTCCACCCACTGTGACCGACAACTCGGGCGAGGTCCCCGAAGCATTCCCCTCCCAGGAGAACGGGACAGCCGTACCGATTGGTGTAGAGACTACCATTTTCTACAACGCAACAGACTCTGCAGGCAACACTGGCTACTGCGACTTCACCATTCTTGTGATAGGTGGGCCAAGCTTTCATCTTTAGATAAATGGTTCTTTACTTAACTTAATCTTCTCCAGTTTTTGGCAAATTATTGATCTTGTAAATTAGACCAGTATGCAAGGCCGGATCCTTTTTTTTTGGAGGGGGGGGGGGGGGCCAAAAAATGTTAGTTCCCGAAATAGTGGGCCCAACAATTTTCCGCCCCAAATTTAATATGAAAAGCAAAGCGAGGGATGCAAATGTATCGCTGTTGTTGACTTTTGTGGGCGGTGTACGCAATGGCTGCCTTTTTTGCATTTTTACTTAAAAGAAGAAAAAAAAAGGGTATTTTTGTTGGGGGGGGGGGCATGTGTTATGTTTCTTGAATCCATTTTGTTTGGGTTTTGAAGTGATAAGAATCTTTGTCATTTTCCTTAGCTCAGAACTTAAAGGTAGAGTTGACCATTTGCATCCACAAAAAAAGTATCCCTCCAAATTGTTGTTAAAAAGCTTACTTAGTTTAAATATAGTTACGGCACTAAACTCCCTGTGAAATGCAGGGGTGTGAAATCTCAGCTTTAAAGCTGATTTCAGCTTTTTTTTGTTTTGGATTTCAGCTTTTTTTCATCTTTTTCCCTCACTTGCTGTGTACAAAAGTATAGGAGATTTCCAAAGTTCAGCTTTTTTGCACTTTTTTCAGCTGTTTTCAGCTATTTTTATCAGTGATCACTCACACCCCTGGAAATTATTCCTTCTGGCATACTGTCCTTTTGAAGAAAACATTAAAAGAATGTCATTCCCAAAGATGTATCAAAGTGACACATTTTGGGACATTTTGTATGGGGGAATGCGTGAATGGGTGCAAGCGCTTTGGCACGACGCGCACGTGCGCGCGATTGCTATTATTATCGAGAATCGTCGGTTCAGTGTGTTCAATCACGTAGCAAGAATCGGCTGAATGAGAATCATGTCCGGGATGTTGATTTTGAGATCGTGTTGTGACTCAGCGACATACTTTGGAATGGAAATTGAAATCCAGAATATTGTGTTTTCTCAAAGTACACAGCATTCACAAAGCTAATGCTTCATCAGGTTAGTTGTTTAACACCTGTCTTAGATTTTGAGCACATTTGTTGCTTCAAAAAAAAAAAAAAAAATGCACAATGACAAATGGTCTACTCTGCCTTTAAAGCTACAGTCCATCGTTTGTAATTTGTGCATTTTGTTCATTTGAAGCAACAAAAGAGTTCAAAATCTAATGAAGGATACTGTGCAACTAACCTGATGAAGTTTCAGCTAAGCTTCAGCTGTACATTCCGAGAAAAACAGCATTCTAAGATCTCAATTTCAAATCAAAAGTTACTGAATCATGTTTTGAATTGTTTTGAATTGCAGTTATACGCGACATCGCGCACTGATCCGACGAATTATAACAACCGCGCGCGCGTGTGCGTCGTTCCAATACTTGTGTGCGCTGCGCTGAATAACAAAACGAACTACTAATTAAAATTTTCCTACGGTGCTTCTTAAGAATCACCGTTGGAAATGCCTTCTTTCGTTGATTACTTCAAAATGACAGCTTCCCAGATAGAATAATTTCACAGGGAGTTTAGTTCCCTTACTATCTTTCAAACAAGTTTGTTTTTCAACAATAATTACGCCAGTTACTTTTCGGATGGCTGCAAATGATGGACTATAGCTTTAAGCAAACACTCCCCTTCAGCCACGTTAACAGTGGTTCAAAAAATCTTTATCGGTGGTGTTTTATGCATAGTTGTGGATTTTAGTATTTCCAATGTACAGGGTAAGTCAAAAAACACAAGACCCAAATGTCAGGACAATTTTTTTTAGTGAAGTTCTGAATGTAGGACTTTCAAAATCTAGGATATGAAAGGCCAATTCATAAGCTTTTCTCTTTGTACAAGAATCATTCAAATCACTCCTGTACTTTTCAATTTACGGAATTTTAAACACAACCACCGTCTTAAAGTTCTGTCCACAGATCACAAGAATGTAAGTGTTCTTTCAGCAAAATGAATACAAATCACATAGATGTGTGTGCATTGTTTTGGTTTTGCTGAAAGAACGCACACCTTTTCTGTGATCCGTGGACAGAACTTTAAAACGGTGGTTCTGTTTAAAATTCCGTAACTTGAAAAACATGTGTGATTTGAATGACTCTTGCACTAAAAGAAAGCTTATGAATTGGGCTTTCATATCCGAGATTTAGATGCAGAACTTCCCTAAAACAATAGTCCGACATTTGAGTTTCGCTTTTTTTGACTCACCCTGAATGATGGATTGCTGCTAGATGACATTTCCCCCAGATAATTTTGTGCAACAGTGTCATTTTTGTGTTTTGCCCGTAGACAATGTACCACCGGTCATCACCTGCCCAGCTACCTTGACAGAGCCAACAGCATTCAACAAGTTTTACGGCCCCGTCACCTGGGTCCCGCCTACAGTGACCGACAATGTTCCGGCGACGGTCACGGTCATGTCGGATTACGTTAACGGCAGTAACTTTGACCTGGGAGATACAGTCGTGACTCTAACAGCTATTGATGCCGCTGGTAACAACGATACATGCCAGTTTACAATCACTATCGTCGGTGAGTGTACAGCAGATGCGATTGAACTTTTTAGAAAATGATTAGATAAGAATGGGAAAGTTTGCATGGTAGAGATAACAGCAAGGTCAGTTTGTGGAAACACCATGTGAAATTAATCTCTTTTGTGTTTTTTTGATAAAAGGACTGAAAAATGTTGAAATGTCTTTGTTTGACCATAATACATGCCTTGCGTGAACAGTTGGGGATGCTTTTTCACAACTTTCCAGAGCTCTTGGACAGGACACACTGTGCGTGTTTATGGTGTAAACCGAGGACACACACATGCACCATCATCGATTAATTGAGGACAGGAACCAAATTGAGAACGACCTTGATTAGAAAACATGTACAAAACCAATGAGAGCTGTTGCAAAAAAAGTTAAAGAGTATAAACAAAGGAAAAGGGAAGAAGAAAAAGAGAAAATCCGTAATTTACACCATAAACAAACGTGTGTGCGTTTGCATGTTTGGCGTGAAGTACGCACAAATAATTGTATTCTGAATGTGTAGAAAAAGCCGTAGCGTTTTTGTGTGAGCTTAAGTTGTCGGCAATGCGTTCGGATGTCGTACAAAGTCGTCTCCTTCAGCTCTCCCTTCGTAACCAGTGAGGGGTACTTGTGTGCAGAGTCCATAGTCATATGTACCTCTATCAAGCTTGGCTGGTTGTTAGCTGCAGCTGAATAGCTCTACAAGTAGTCATGTCTCTCTGTTGGTTGGTTGGTTGGTCAGTAACAAACTTCACGAAATGCCTTTTTTTTGGCCATCAATCACCTTGTCCCTTAGGCCCTCTCAACAACACTAGCCTCAGGTTCATGGCCTTGAAATGTACCTCTATCAAGCTTGGCTTGTTTTTAGCTGCAGCTTAGCAGCTCTACAAGGAGTCATGTCTCTCTGTTGGTTGGTTGGTTGGTTAGTAACAAACTTCACAAAATGCCTTTTTTGACCATCAATCACCTTGTCCCTTTGGCCCTCACAACAACACGTGCCTCTGGTTCATGGCCCTGAATTGTGACAGTTGCATAGGTCGCCACTGACCAGCTATTAATTGATTGCAGTTGTGGAAAATTGGGTCACTAGAGTCCAAAACCAGATATTTTTACTAAAAACACTTAGCATTGGGACTGACACTGTACTGTACACAATAATCTGCACACAAAGTTGGTGTTCCCCATGCACCTAGCATACAGCTATAAAACGCTCCGTGCACCAACTGACATTCAACAAATACGAATCCTTTATTTCAATTGACAGTCACGACCACGTGAGCAGTAGTGCATTATAAAAACAGACTTTTACATCATGTACAAGACTTACAGGCTACAACAGGTCTACAGTTAGGCCGCAGCGTCCGAGATCATTTGGAGCTTGTTTTTTCTCTGTCTAAATCCTTTTCTCCCAATTTCTCCTCCCATTCAGACTTGGAGCCGCCAGTTATTTACAACTGTTCAGACGATTTCAATGTCACCACTGAGCCTGGAGAGGCCTATGGGATACCAGTGTTCACTGAGCCCACGGCCCAGGATAACTCGGGCTCTGTCACCATCGCTGGTCTGGGCCGGTCGGGGACCCAATTCCTCATCGGCCCGACTGAAGTCACATATGTAGCAATCGATGCCGCTAATAACCCCACTGCGTGCAGGCTGACCATCCTTGTGATTGGTGAGCATGATTGAACTCAACAAGACTTCACAGAAATACTTTAGATGGAATGAATGAGCCATTTGCCAGTAACCTATACCCTTTGGGCTTTACATTTGAAAAGAATCTGGTACACTGATTTGCTCAGAATGCTTGGCACATTTTAACTTTGAACTCTCCTGACCAAGACACTGTTGCTAATCACATGATTCGGGGCAAGCTCTTGCATAGTTACGTAAGAGACGCTCAGCACCATTACAATGGGTGAGAATAGCACAAAGACACCAGACCATGCCGGAGCTGGGGGTTGCTAGCATAAGGCTTGCCCCGAATAACGTGATGTTGTAAGAGTCTCTTTGGTTGGGAGAATGCAAACTTAAAACGTGCAAAGCATTGGATTAAGTCAGCGTTCCAGATTTTATTCAAGTTTAACTCGAAAATGGCTTATTGGTTTGACCTGAGTAATAGTCAGGGCTGTATCGCTGATGAGGGTGTAATAAGGTGGAGGAGGGGACATGCCCCCCCCCCTGCCCCCGCACTTTTTAAAGTGGGGGGGGGGGATATCATATCGTTTGTACCCCCACTTTTTTCGTCCATGAATAAAAAGTGTAGCCTATATTTCATTCTATAGCTCAGAATAGCTAATTCAATTACTCTAAACTCAAAACATGATGTTTAAATGATGATCTTTTGTAAAAAAAAAACATTGGTTATGGTGGTCAGAAATTGCCTCAGATCGCACCATGGAGCATCTAGAATCCAACATTTTCCAGGGCCCTTTTAAAGTGGGCCCTGGACCCCACGATGTTAGGGCTTCGCGCTATGTGCTCGCATTAGTTCTGATCAAGGTAAACCCCTCACTTTTGAGAAGCGATTGATGCCCTTGATTCACACGATAATGTCATCTGCTATCGAAAAAATGTCATTACCGAAAAAATGTGTGACTGGATTTAAAACCAGTGCCTCTCCAATGGCACGTATTTGAGGACCAAAACTCTGTACCCAAGAACTCTTTGGTGTAGTAATTACATGAAAACTGCAACTTTTTAAAGCATAGTTGTTTGCATGTTCATATTCTACTGGGGACCTTTCATTGCAAATACATTTTAGTGCCCAAAAGGGTGAATGCCGGACAAAAGTGCCCCTTTAAGTCTCAATATTTTTTTTCTTCAGATGATGAACATCCAGCAATTCAATCAGCATCAGAATGTCCTGCGGACATCGTGGAATTTATACAGGACGCAAACTCGGACAACGTAACAGTGACGTGGACTGACCCCGTCTTTGAGGATAACTCTGGAATCGCTCCCACGGTAACGGTCACTCCACTAGCTAACAACTCGTTCTTCCCAGAAGGCAACACCACCGTTACCATAGTAGCTGAAGATCAGTCCGGCAACACATTTGAGTGTGTTTTCTTGGTGACTATTAATGGTGAGTTTGGAAGCTTTTGAAAATTACGATTCATGAATACCTAAGAATGTTTAGCCATTCTTATTGATTGAGAGCCCGTCACGTGGGTGGTTTTAAACGGTTGATGGGACACAAAATGGTTTTAAAGACTTTTTTCCGGTTTCATGTCAATTTGGAATCCTATGAAATTTGTTCCATTTTATCCGCTTAACCCTAAAGGGGCCGGGGGGGGGGGGGGCGGAATCCGCCCCCCCCCTCAACATTTTCCGCGATAGCTTCTAAACAATTTTTGTTCGTGACCCAAGCAGTTATGACTTTTTAGCCTCGAGCTTTGCGCATCTTTTGATACCAAAAACATAAAAATCGGACCACGGGTTGGCACGTAGCGAAAAATTTTCCGGCGCTACGCGCCGTGAAAACTGAATTTTTGCATATTCGTCGTGTACACCGAGCAGAATTGCCATTCATACATATGAATAATTAATTAGCCATAATTCCAAAACCCTTTGACCTATAGTCATGAAATTTCTTGGGCATGTTTAGGAAGAGTTGCTCTATGCATGTGCTGAGTTTCAAAATTTTTCGTCACTCGATGGCCGAGATCTTAGGGGGGGGGGCAAAATCCGCCCCCCCCCTTTGCTGATAGATGGTCAAAATAACCCGGCCCCTTTAGGGTTAATGGTTGAACGTTTACAATCTTCACTTAGGCATGTGCACTACTACCAATGAGTCCGTTTTTCATAAATTCCTAAATTCACACTACACCGGCACAGCTGTGTTCTGCGCCACGTCACGCAGTATGCGCCACACGTGCGCCAATCTCCATACAAGGAGATTTTCAGTATTGCTCGCGAGAGGCACATACCATAAACATAGGTAGAGGGGTGTTACACAAAACATGAAGTAGAATTGTTGAACAATACCAAACTCCTCTGAGGGTATTCATCTCAGTTCTCTTGTAGTCAGTCGTTATTGTCAAAGAAAACTTAGAACATAGTTTGTATTCCTCCAGTACAGTTATGTTTTTTGAAGCAAAAAAAAGTGCTCAAAATGTAAAGACAGGTGCTTACCAACTAACCTGTTAAAGTTTTAGCTCAGTGAATGCTGTATATTCCGAGAAAACAATATTCTAGGATCTTGGTTTCAAATTGAAAGTTGCCAAGTCATGTTTTGAATTGCGCTGGAAATCAGCGTCTGGGACATGTTCTTCTTCAGCCGATTGCTGCTACGCAATGTCACGCACTGAACTGATGAATATGCTTGCACGCACTTATTCGGCTTTGCCAAATTCCAAGCCAACTACTAACGGAAAATTCCAAAAATGCATCTTTAGACACATCTCTGGAAATTACCTTCTTTTAGCGTTTTCTTCAAAATGACAGCATGCCAGAAGGAATGATTTCACAGGGAGTTTAGTCCCATTACTATCTTTAAACCAAGTAAGCTTTTCAAAAATAATTTTGTCAGTTACTTTTTGGATAGCTGCAAATGAGCTTCTCTACCTTTGAGTCAACAGTCTGTGATATGGCACTTTTTATGATGAAGGCTACCCAATTATATCTGTCAGGAGACCCTCAACAACGCAAGCTCGATTCAGCAATCCAGCAGATGGAAGCGTGCATAGATGACGTGTGTTCTTGGATGACTCACAACTGGCTCAAATTCAAAGATGAAAATACCAAATTATCATCATAGGTTCAAAGCAGCAATTGTGTAAAGTTTATGTTTCATTTGTGATTTCGACCGTCTTACCATCTAATCAAGTCAGAAATCTCGGCATTATCTTTGATCCATCTCTATCCATGGAACCTCACCTTACATCAATCTCTAGATCAGTCTGCATGTCGATCCGTAACATCGGACACTTACGAAAATATCTTGACAAACACACAACTGAAATACTTGTTCACGCTTTCACCACGCCCAAAATTGACATAAGCAATTCACTGTTGTATGGCATTAACTTAAATCAACTAAACCATTTGCAGCGACTACAAAACATCAGTGCCAAACTAATCTCTCTCACTAGTAAACATTCTCACGTCACTCCAGTATTAGCAGATCTCCACTGGCTTCCAGTATCGTACAGAATCAAATACAAACTTGGCCTATTCGAATCTCATCGACCTCATCCACCCGTACTCAACAGCACACACCGGACTCCGCTCCAGTGAGCTCATGATGCTTCACGAGCCCAGGACCTCCACTCTTTGGGGTGACAGATCCTTTGCTGCAGCGTCAGCCTGAGTGGGGAACCAACTCCCTCTGGCTATCAAATCATCTCCATCTATCACAACATTTAAGACAAACATAAAACCTCACCTATACAAACAAGTTTTCTCTTACATCCTCAACTGCCGTGAGTGCCTTTTAGGCAGATATCGGTGCTTATAATTATTATTAATTTTTCTGTAGATGAAAAGTGGGACAAAAAGTCATTTTTAATTGATGTTTTTTTTCAGTGTATGATATGACTCCACCTGTGTTCAGCGCTTGTCCACCCAGTTTTTCTCCCGTGGCGACCGACCCTGGTTTGGACACGGCCTCACCATTTGATTTTGGCATCACGGTTAGCGATACCGGAAGTGGCGTTGAGAGTGCTGTCCTATCAACCAACATGCCGTATCAGATCGGTGACAACCTTGTGTCATTGTTTGCCCGGGACTTTGCAGGCAACGTTGACTACTGCAACTTCAATGTGACTGTCTCTGGTGAGTGAGGTCAGATCTCCTATACAGCGCGTCCCAAAAAACCCGCAACTTTTCTTTTGCGAGGCTCTAGCGTTGGCGCTTAAACACGTACTGCCATGATTTTTTATACCATTAAAAAGCGTGGAATCTTAACTTTATCCCTGGCGAGTATTCGTTTGATATTTAAAAGAGTTTTAAAATTATTCGTGTTCAAATAAAAGCATGTCGAAAACAAACTCAACTGATTTCGAGGAAAATCGATGATGCGGTACATCAGATGCAAATTCGAGTCAACAAGCTGTTGAAATAACAACAGTTCATTTATATTAAAAACACATTCAACTTAAAACATAGAACAATTGTGAATTTATTTAAGGTGTGGTCCACGTGGAGTGAAAAAAAAGGAAACTTAGAAAGTAAAAGGTAACGAGATCGTCACATCATGAATATGATGAAACGTTTTCACATCAGAAAAAATTTGCATGATTGATTTGAATAATTTCGAAACTCCTTTGAAAATCAAACCAATACTTACCAGGGATAAAGTTAAGATTCCAAGCTTTAAAATGATATAAAAAATAATGGCGGTACGTGTTTCCCCAGCTAGAGCTGTCGTGTTTCCCCAGCTGTCGGATATATTTCCTATCGTTACTATCACAAATGCTTGTTCATTCTGTTTTTCATGCAGACAACGAAATGCCCAATATTACCAGTTGCCCAGTAGACCAAACAGTCTTTACCCGGACTGACAGTCCGTATGGGTTCCCTACCTGGATGGATCCTGTCGCTGTGGACAACTCTGGCGTCGTCACAGTCAACTGCTCCATGCAGTCTGGAGATGCCTTTGTTATCGCCGACACAACCGTGGTGTGCACAGCCTGGGATCCCAGTAACAACATGGAGACGTGCTCATTCATCGTTACCGTTGTCGGTAAGTTTCTTTGTGTCTATACTTGTAACTCTTTCTGCAATACGAGGATAAATCTCATGATTAAATAGATTTAGTAATTTTAATTTTCTCAGAGTCATTTCTTTGTTATTCAGCTAGGAGATCAACCCTAACTCCCGGGGCCTTTTTTTGCTAGGATGTAGCCTCAATCTTGCAAAATCCTCCAATACGCCTAATGGAAAAATAACAGATAGCCTCAATCCTGCAAATTCCTCTATTATTTCTTGAATATGGTCCGTGAAGGGGTGACCACTGCCTAAATCCAGCAAAATCCTGCAGCAGTGACTGTCAATATGTTGAGGCTTGGCCAGCGACATTCTGGAGCACTACGGAGGATTTTAAGCATAATCCAGGCCTATATTTATGCATGGCTGAGCAAAAACAACACAAAGTCTGGCCCAAGACCTTGACAAAGTGCATCCTACGAAATCAGTAACGCACTTTTGCCATGTACCCTCAATCCTCCAAATTCCTCCACTTTGGCAAAGAGGATTTTGAAGGATACAGGGCGGTCAGGGTTAACTTACTGTGTTTGTGTCCATGAGCAGCCTAGTTTGCCACAATTTGTCTTCCCCTTTGATCAATGTTTGATCTCAAATATAAAGTAACTTTAACGAAAATGTGTTCAAATTAGTAGGGTAAAAGGGGGAGCATTTGACCACATAAGGAAAACTGGCAATGACTAGTGTAATGAGATCTTGACCATAATTATCACTCATGACATGATCATGTACTCACTATGTTTACAGCATAGCATCAACCCTACTCAGACCCAAGGTTTTTGCTTAGTAATGATCGGTCGGATTCTGCTACCGGTCGAATATACCCCACTTACCGGTATAACAGATGGGATAGGGGGAGAATTCAACCAGATAAGGAAAACCAGCACTGCCTAGTGTAACTGAGAGAGTGAGATCTTAATTGTAATTACTTATAACATGACCATGCACATACTTTGTTTGCAGCATATACTCAACCGTAGACAAACCCAAGGTTTGTGCTTTAACCAGTTCGCATCGGAGGACGTGATAGCTCGGTAAATCTGGACTTTTCCATTTGCCTCGTGAAATAGAAAAGTCCAGATTTTACCTTGCGAAAATATTCCTCCCATTCCACTCTGAGCCACTCAATGTTTGTAGAATAGAATTATTGTAGAACGCTTATGGAACTGTGTTGCTCAGAGGTTTTGTGCTAGAAAACTTCTTTCCTAGTAAATCATGCTTTGTTTTTTTTTTTTCATCACTAATTGTCATTATTATTGATAGATAACCAGCCTCCCGTTGTGACGTTCTGTCCGGAAAACATCAACCAGGGGACTGATGCAGGCGAAGCCACAGCCGTTGTTACTTTCAGCCAACCAACGGCAACGGATAATGACGGACTGCCGATCATCCCAGTCGGTTCCCATCCCAATAATTCAACATTTGACCTGAACGATACCTACGTCTCCTTCACCTTTACGGACTCCAGTGATAACGTCGCATATTGCAACTTCACTATCACAGTAGTTGGTAAGAGATCTGATGGGTATTTTGTTCATTGCAGTTACTGGTAGTGAAAGTATTTGAATTTGATATGGTCATTTGGTGTTTTAAATGTCATTTGGTGTTTTATTAAAATAAATCAACAGGGTTCCCACAGTCATGGGAAAAATCCTGACAAATCCTGGAATTTAGAAATCATGGAAAGGCAAATGCCTGCTTACAACCCCCCCCCCCCCATTTTGGCAGTTAATCCACCTCTTTGTAGAATGCCATTGTCCAGTATGATTCGAGTATGATTCGAGTATATGTTTGCCCTTTTCTTTGTATCAACATGGTGATTTTTTGGTAAGGCGGCAGAACGCTATGCCCCAATCTATAACAAATTAGCTCAAGTGTCTACTGACACTCATTCAAATGGGCCATATTTTGTCGACCGTAAACTTGTAAAGTTGACTCTCCATGGCAAACTCTTGGTGGCGCTCTGCATTGTGAATCGCCCGAATTGTAAAGCGCTTTGAGATTGTTGATGTGATGAAAAGCACTATATAAGCGTTTCAATTTTTAATGTTAAATTATGATCCGAACCTGCACCCTTCCCTATAAACTAAAGATGTTGGCTTAAATTACTGAGACAATCTTCCATACAGAAATCGCAAACTTTGGCGATATTGAAACTCTTCGTTTTCTCTCCTGCGCAGATGATGAGGCACCAACTGCTGGTGACACCTGCCCCAACGACACCTTGGTCTACACCCCTACAGGCAGGCCTACCGCCCCGGTACAATGGGTCATTCCAATGGCCTTTGACAATGTCGGGGTCGTTGGTACATCGTACACCCACCTTCCTGGTGATGAGTTTCCCATCGGCATGACAACTGTGGTTTATACGAGTACGGATGCTGCCGGTAATGTGGGCACATGTCAGTTTGTGGTTGAAGTGCAAGGTAAGTCCAACAAGCTGTTATATTCATAATTGTAATATCACATAATATCACATACAAAAAGCTATACATTAAAATTCTATTCAAATAGGCAAACATATATAAATATTTTGTTCACGTACTTCGCGTTACTGTCAAGTTGTGGCTGTGTATTGGTACAAATATACACTGTATCACGGACTCCCACCTTGTGGTTTTATAATGTAGCACATAAACTACCATCCCGGAACCAGACTTTAAACGCATTTCCAAATTCTTGGTTTCATCAGCGGCTTCGGGCGATTTCTTAAGCTCTTGATGGAACTCTGGCAAAACTTTTCCTGCTTTTAAAAATAATTTGATATTTTCTATATAATAAGAAACAGTTTTGTGTGTTGCAATTTGGTTTGACGTTGTCAGCGTAAAGCTTATTTCAGACCCGAAAGCCAAACCAGAAGTAAAACCGAAGTATTACTCCTTGTTAACTGTTACGTAAATCTTGGGTAGAGGGTAGAAACGTCCAACAGAAACTGTCTATTGGGCACCATGCAGCATATTTAGATCTTTGAATCTTCATACTGATGCCTTGTGTTCCTTTTTCCATTCTGTAACTTATTACACGGTGTTCAAATATCAGTAACTCAAATAGACTCCAGCATAATTTTGACTCTACTCGACTTGACCACGCAATGTAAATCGACTCAACTCGACCTTCTTGACCTAATGACTCCACTCCACTGGAGTCACTTCCTTATTGATTCGACTCGACTCGAGTCACAAAGTTCAGTGACTTTTTACAACTCTGGCCTGTCTTTGATTCCATGTCACCAGGCTCTCATCTTTATTTTTTTTCCTTTACAGATACGGAAAACCCAGTGTTTGACCTGTGTCCGCTGCCTATAACCCAGCCAACGGACCAAGGCAGCCCTGATGCTACCGTCTTCTGGACTGTGCCTAATGTGACGGACAACTCCGGCATCATAGCGTCCCTGGATGTCAGTAATGTACCTGGTGAAATGTTCTCTATTGGCCCACACACTGTGACCTACACGGCTGTGGATGAAGACAATAACATCGGCACCTGCAGCTTTCCTATAACGATCTCTGGTGAGGGCATTCAAATTTCATTTTTCATGCATGATTGTAACACATATCAATGAAAGTTTATTAGCAGCCTGAGAAGTACCTGGCTTGAAGTATACAATTTGAAAGCCATACCAGAAGTGAAACTTTTCCGATTACTTTTTCAAATTTATTTCCAAAATTCTGATTTTGCTGACGATCTTTTCTGCGCAAAGTCTAATTTTTTTAATTCAGTTTCAATGAATTTGATGAAAATGGCACCGCGGCATCAGTGTATTGCAAGTGCAGTTTTAATCTGTTGTTCCAGTTGTCAGTGTACAGATTGTACTGTAGATGCACATTAGTAAGCCCGGATTGGAGTAGTTTATGGCTGAGAAAAAAGTTGGAAGCATTAACATGTGACATGATTGAAACTATAGTAGCTAGCTACGTACAGCGCTTCAAGGCTGTTGCACGTGGAGTTCAATTGCAATAAAATTCAATAGAATTCAAAATTCAATTCAATTGAGGTTTCAGATTGAGTTGTACAAAATGCAATGCTTTAAAAATCACGATGATGATTTTGAGGATGGCGAAGAGAGCATACTGATACATTTCACTTGCGGTTTATGTTGAAAGAAAAAGACGATAATGTTTGAATCAGGTGGTTGAATCATGGACATGATTGAATGGTGTCATGAATGGTGCACTTGTCTTTCGAACTTTTTCCTCGACTTCCTCAAGTAAGAAGTGAACTTCTTTGTTGACGAGTCCGTTTTAAAACTCTAACCATAATCTGAGGCTTTTTAATTTTATGGAAACACTGAACATTTTTCTCTTCATAAAGTTTTGTTGGATCTAAAATACATCAGGAGGCAGTGTCCGGAAATTAAGCACTATCAATATTACTGGATATTCGATATTATTTGGATATCAATATCACAGAAAGCAATTTTTTAATCATATCGCAATATCAAAATTTTTGATATTGAGGAATCATATCGATAATATAGAAAATGTGTCAGATTATAGTCAGAGTAAATCTCCCGTTTGTGCTTTTACTTTTGTGTTTAACGTTTGCCGTATACTGAAATAAAAGTCGGTGGCAACTTGTGCTTGTGAATCAAAACAATAACATCGCGAAATGCCAAGTGGCGTCGCTTTGTGCTCTGCGTTCGCTGGAATTCACGGTCTCCCCAATGTAAAACCTCAAAAAACCCTGCCCATTCTGGACAAACTCTCAGTGCTGAGATTTGTTTTAAAAAGTTTGAGCAATATGCTCCAGAGAAGGCCTTGGAAAATTGGGACTTAACATGGTTTTTTTCAACCAAAGTGTCGTCTTTATGGTCTTTAAGTTTTACATGGGATAATCTATATATTGAATATTCTCGATATTGGATTTCCAATATATCGATTATTGAAAATTCTGATATCGACGGTGCTTACCAGAAAGTGGGCATGAAGTGTATTGTACATACGTAAATGTGTAACTGTTATGCGGCCCAGATTTCAGACACAGATTTTTGCTCTGCCTATTTTCAGTTTCTAATAGGCAAGTTTCATCTCTGGCTCTACTTGAAATAAAATTGAAACAAACTAAATCTGGTTTTTTTTTTTTGCTTTAGATGATGAGGCTCCTGTGCTGGATAATTGTCAAAATAACGTCACGTTGTATGTGCCACCTGACTCAACACAGCTGAGTGCCAGCTGGCCTTTTCCTACGGCCACCGACAACGCGGGACCACCCACGGTCTTCAATGCCACCTATACAGAAATTGCAGTCAGCCAGAGTCCGGTCACTGTAACCATAGACTGGCAGGCTGGGTTTGTCACCGTCCAACAGCTGTACATCGGACACTATCAATGCATCATCAGAGCAGAGGATGCGGCTGGCAATTCTGTAGAGTGTGTCACAGAATTGTGGATTCTCGGTGAGTAGAATCAAAAGAAAGGAAGTTTTCGCTTGCAATCACTGTAGTTTGAATTCATTGGTGTATGAATAAGGAAGGGAACACATTAATTCTGATCAATGTTGTAATCAACCCAATCACAAGTCCTCACCAGACTGCTAACAAGTCATTCACAACTCACATTTGTGACATCATTGATGTTCGCAACATCTTCGTGGTCAATCTGAGTAGTGCCCTAATTCAGGGACCTGAAAACATGGCAGCGAGCATGGGCATCACGAGGGGGGGGGGGGGCACTTCCCCCCCCCCTTGGAAAAGAAATAGAAAAAAAGAAAAGAAACGAAAAAGAGGCGTGAAGTTATATTCATGTGAATTTAATGGGTTGAGGGGGGGGGGGCAAAATGTCCCAGCCCCCTCTAAAACTGATAAATCGAGAATATGTTGAGAAATTGTTTTGGAAAAATATGTTTTGCCGTCCTCTAGAATAAATCCTGCCAACATCCATGGCAGCGAGGATAATAAATCTACGAATAAGCGCCGGTACCGGTATACTGCACTCTACGCTTTGTTGACTAGTTGACAACTGTGAATTTCTACGCACTTGATTGTGCAGGAACCAGTGAAATTTGTTCAAATTCTCAGATTAGGACAATATCGAAAATGATATTGTCCTCATTCGGGTACTTTTACTGATATAATATTGCAGTCTTCCGGGTACTTATTATGAAAGCATACAATATGCTGATTTATTTTTACCATTGGAAGCCTGTTTTAAATAACCATCTCAAATATTGTATTATGACATTTTATGTTGGATTGGTTCAGCCAGTTTTTCGTCCTTTCTTTCCGCTTTTGTTTTCCGATTGTCTGCATGACAACTGAAGTGTGATTCATGTACGTGTTCATGGCTATTAATTTGCAGATGATGTCAAGCCTGTCTTTGATCAATGCCCTCCTGTACTCCAAGCAAGCTACCCAACTGACTTGAACCTCCCAACAGCCGTCGTCAGTTGGACTCCACCAAATGTAACCGATAACAGTGGGGGAACTGTCACGGTCGATGCCAGTCATATGCCAGGGATGGCATTCGACATTGGAGTAACAACAGTCACATTGGATGCTACTGATGACAGTGGCAACATGGAGTCATGCGTGTTCAATGTCACTGTTGTCGGTAAGGCCAAATACACTTTTAAATCGTTAGGGGGGGGGGGTGGTTGACGTAGCAGTACTTTCCTTGCCTTCCACCGCTGTGACCCGGGTTCGAATCCCGCCTGGGGCAATACTTGTATGTGGATTGGGTTTTCAGTCTCTGCCTGATTCCGTGGGTTTTCCCTGGAAAATCTTTCTGGGGATTTCCTCTCACCAAAATCTGTAATTTTAAGTAAAAAAACTTTCATGGGCTAGCTATCCCCGGCCAATTGCTGATTATAATCACATAATAACTTGGCTAATTTGGACTTGATTTACCATTTTAACCAGTTCGCGCCGGGACTATTTTGACAAGAATGGAACAAGGCGTTGAAGCCATCACCCTCGGGCAGCACACTCATATTTCCGGCCTCGCTCGCTGCAAGCGGGTCGCTGACAGATATTTCTGGCTTCACTCCCTCCGTGTTTATCTGTCATCCGTTCTGAATACCGCAAAACCTTTGCATGTATGCACGTTATCCGTCACGAACTGGTTAAGTGCAGGTTTTCTTAATTTGCAATCAACTTTCTTCTCCCTGCTTTGTGCATGCTTATCATGTTGACATGATATGTTCCTCAACGGAAAATATTTTCTTTTTTTGATGACCAGACGAACAGCGACCCAATGTGACCTGCCCTTCTGGCTTCACACTCTACACTGATCCACAATCCAACGTTAGCACTGGTGGCTGGTCTCTGCCTGATGATGCATTTGATAATTCTGGTGTCTTCACTGCGACATCGTCACTGGATCCTACAGAACCACTGGCTGTTTCTAATCACCATGTCTCCTACACTGTTGTGGATGCAGCCGGCAATGACATTAATTGTGATTTCTACATTACTGTGCTTGGTAAGAAGTCATTATTGTGTTACCTCCCGAGTGAAAGTTGGAAAAAATCACTCGGGTGGGACTCGAACCGATGACCTGCTGCTTTTTAGTGTAGACGTTTTACCGCTCGACCACCGAGCTAACGGGATCGGTTGGCTGGTTCGAATCCGATGTACATAGCAGTGGTTACCGCATTAAACTATTCATAAGATGGAACTTTGCAAATGTTGTATATTCCTTTTATCGTTGGGAAATTGTAAATGTTTTACTTGTGTTGACAATTTGACCAAAAGTTATTTATGAATGGGAATAAATATGTGCTTGGCCTGTACTAAACAAGTATGTTTTAAATCAGCTAGGGCCCTGGACGCGGATACTGGCCCTCGTTTTAAACGTACTTGTTTTACACCCGGCCAAGCCCATATTGTTTTCCTTAATCAAAACTGTGTATAATTACAAGTATCAATGCTTGCACAGGTAGAACTGTTCATTGTGCGTACCCTGAATTGGAGAAATTTTTTCTGTAAAGTTTTAATTTCTGCAAAGCTTATCATTATAAGTGTTACAGTGTAACGAACACGTTGGGGCCCATAAAAAATGTTTTTTTATATTGGTTGTTTGTTATAGTGATTGTGCATTATAATAGAATTTACAATTTGGCATTTAAATTGGCATTCGTAGATATATCAGACGTTCGACCGGAGATAGGGCTAAAAAAATAGAAGGGTGGAATGGCTTATTGTGCATTCTTAGGATTTTGAGGAGATTTTTGCTAACTTACTGCAAAATTTCGTTGGTGGCCTTTCCAACCAAATGTCCTTGTCTTTCAGACAACGAGGATCCCTACTTTGAGCCGTGCCCGGCTTCGATGACATTTCAAACTGACCCACAGCAGAACACCGCCAATGTGACATGGCCGCCTGTCATTCCGATGGACAACGATGCAGTTCAGGAGTATAGCTCCAACTACCAGCCTGGGCACTTATTCCCAATTGGTGACACAGACGTTGAGTACAACGTGACTGACACATCAGGGAATAAAGGTTCCTGCTTTTTTGTGGTGACAGTTGAAGGTATGTCTTTCATTCTTAATTTCCCAAGTTGTTACAATTCTTATTTAGGTTTGAGATATGTGAGACATTATGGCCTAATGAGACAGAACTGGGCAGAGGTCCAAATGAGGATTTGCAAGTATCAGAAAAGAGAACAAAATTCTCCTTACAATACTTCTTGTTGCGCCTCAATCGGACATTCCGTCGACAAGTAATGACTGTTTGAAATTCACATTTATCGATGCATCAAAAAGTTAAAACTGAGAAAGAGGCTTTTAAAGTTTCGAGATTTGTAGTTGTGGAATTGAAAGATGCCAATTGTTTTTTTCTTTAAAAATGCTTTTATTCTACGATGAGCTGAGTTCCGTCTCATTTTGCCAGAGCGGCTCACATATGTTATGGAAATATGTATTTCTTTTAGAGCCTTACATTTCAGTTTTGTTCACTGGTAAATTATAGCTCTTTTTCATTTTCTATTTTTTGAAATGCATCCATTTTTATTTAAGGAGCATTTTCAGGAGAAAGTGTCAAAATTAGGCTGGAAAATGCACTTACCATAAAGTGATAATAGCTGGAAAGATCAATAAAAAAGAACACCAAATGTTCACAAGATTATACCTAACAAATTTGCCGTTATCGTGTAATAATTGTTATCGTGTAAGGACTTTCAGAGCACAAACTTTTGGTCCTGAAAAATCGATCCATTGCAATGCTAGTCCTCATTTCCAACACACGTATTTTGTTTAAATGTGTTTCAAATCCCTCACACTCACAAATCTTGGGGTGATCGATCATTTTCTTACGCAGGTCCTCATCTTTGGAACAAACTACCCCTCGCCATTCGCAATATCTCATCGCTTTCTGAATTTAAAGTGGCCCTGAAGACCTATTTGTTTCAGATCACTCAGAATATTCTTGTTTTAGTTAAATTTAATTGTTTGTTATTTCTGATTTGATATAATTTTTGTATTGCGCCATGAGCGTCATTTATGGCGGATAACGGCACGGTATAAATTGCCGTTAAAGACTGTGGCATAAATTCAAACCTGCGAGTAATTACATGTGTTTTTGTTATTTGAGTCTGAGTATAAATTGCCGTTATAATTATTATTATTATTATAATCCTGAAGCAAGCACGATACCTAATGTCTCACAGTGAATTGTAAACATTTTCTGAAGGGCCAGTCTCTGGCTTAGTCTTTGTAATAGCCATGACATCCTAGATTTTGACCAATTAGCAGGCGCTTTCTATATCGGGTCTTCGGTCACTCACCCGTTGCGTATCATAGACAATGGATAAAAAAAATGTGTCACACGCTTTGTATCATGTTACGCGATATCAGGTCCGGCTGTTGTATTACAAAACACTGCATTCGAATTGACCAATCAAACCATTTAGTCCTGATTTATGAATTAAATGGCGTCACGATTTAGTAAATTCGACTCCGATTGGTTGGGGTGGCACAGCTTGCATATATCTGCATGTCTAGACATATCAGACGTTGTACAGGACTTGGCTCCGTGGATAACAGTCTTGCACAAAATCTAATGCTTGAAATATGTGTAGACAAGGCCAATTGTGTATCGCTGTTGTGTCAGACGTAAACAAACATGGTTTCCAAGTATTGCTCCGTAAATGGAAGACATTTTGTGGATTTCCTTCGACCCAGACTTTGGAAATTTCTGCAAAAATCTGACCGAATGTGCCCTTTTAATGCACTCCTGTCCTGTTCTTATTTTCACAGACATGGAGCCTCCTACTATTACTTGTCCCGATCCAGCCATTGTAACTGACACAGACCCTCAACGGAGTGTCGCTAATGTGACATTTGTCACGACTGCTGCTGACAATAGTGGGGAGTGGACAGTGTCATGCACCCCAGCCTCGGCAACCAACTTCCAAGTTGGAGTGCAGAATGTCATGTGTATCGCCACTGATCCCTCGGACAACACCGAGACCTGCTCATTTGCTGTCTTGGTATCAGGTACTTGGCTCATTTTATTGTCATTTTGTTTAAACCCTGCAGTTTGCATGGCTTCAGCATATATTTCTGTACAGTTTGCTTTAAAGGTAGAGTAAATCATTTGCATCTATCCAAAAAGTAACTGATGAAACTGTTGAAAATCTTACTTGGTTTTAATATAGTAATGGCACTAAACTCCCTGTGAAATTATTCTTTTAATTTTGGCATGCAGTCATTTTGAAGAAATGAATAAAGGAAGACAATTTTTAAAGATGCGTCAAGTGACGCATATTTGGAAGTTTCAATTTTGGTTTGTAATTCTGCCAATCCGTGAATGGGTGCGCACAAGTGTTGTCACGACGCACACGCACATGCGGTTGCTATTATTCATTGGTTCAGTGCGTGACATCGCGTAGCTGCAATTGGCTGAATGAGAACGGGTCCCGGATGCTGATTTCAGGCGCAATTCAAAACATGACTCTGCAGCTTTTGAATTGAAATCAAGATTCTAGAATATTGTTTGCTTAGAATATACAGCATTCACTGGGCTGAAATTTCATCAGGTTAGTTGTTAAGCACCTGTCTTTAGATTTTGAATGCTTTTGTTGCTTCAAATGAAACAAATGCTCAAATGACCAATGATCCATGCCACGTTAAATTAATAAGAATTGGATACGAGGCAAAAAGTTAATGACTTGTGCTCATGTAAGTGATGTACAATCATTTGCACATTTTTTTTTATCGATGCACATTTTTTTTTATCGACAATAACACTATAAAGTCATAATGCATTGTGCCAAGTGTTTAGATTGTGTTACATTACTGTCGGCAGTAAGTCAGTGCTACCAATGGTGGTCAATATTTTTTCAACAGTATTTGAATCACATGTTTGACATGGGTGATGCAGTGCATAAAGCACTCACCTCTCACCGTCATGTCCCGGGTTCGATTCCCGGCTCGGGTCATATATGATTAGAGTTGTTAATTGATTCTCTCCTGTGGCATGAGGGTTCTTCTCCGGGTTCTCCGGTTTTGCTCGCTTTGCAAAAATCAACACTTTTGATCTGGATGCACTCTGTGGTAAGACGCCGGTTGTATGGCGGATGTCAAAGGTGACTTTACTTGCCTGCGGCTTGACCACGTTGCAGCTGCGTCCTTCGCGATTTAGCTTCTGTTGTGAGTAAAGACAATCACAGATCCTACACACAAGGATGAATGACTGCTCTGAGCTCTAGTACAAAATGCACTGAGCAGACTTGCCTTAATTGGTTGGACGTGTGATAACAGGCATTAACACCCATTGGCATGTAAATCGCGAATTTTCCAGGTGTGCCATTTTGTCGTGTTTTTATTTTTGCATGACATCTAAAACGGATATATTCATAAAACGTTACGCAGAACCACTCCTTTTGTACGATATACTTGTTCCAAAATTGTTAAAAAATAAATACTTCAGGATATAACAGATGGCATTGTGCATTTTTTGTCATCATGGATGAAATATTTACCCAGGAAATAAGCGTCAAATTTCTAGGACAACACCGTTTACCCAAATTTCGTTTTTTAATTAGGCTTTCATTAAAAAGTTTTAGAGAGATGTGGTCCTGAACCGATGAAGCAAAAGCAACATTTCATAGCTCATTTGAAAGATATTGTGTCTCGACGTTAATATGGTTATGTAGTCATCACTTATCAGAATTCAATAATAAAGAAAAAAACTTAGACTCATGAATATTCAAAAGTATAACTAGCTGGCTTGACAGACTTCGACACCAGATCGGGCCCTGCAAATCTAAAATCCGCAGTGCGCAGGGGTCTTTGTCGACAAGTATTCGTGGTGTTCCCACCTGTATGGGCCGTTACCACGCGTCCAACCAGGAGTTTGGCCGAGTCGCTAATCCTTGTGTGTAGCGTGGGACAATGAACCCCTGACATTTATTTCTTTATGAATCTTGATTCTCTTCTGCTCTCAGACAACGAAGATCCCGTCTTTGATTTCTGTCCGTCTGATATCACACTCAATGAACCACTGGAGAGTTTCGTCAACTTCACCATCATGGTCAACTGGACTCTACCCGTGGTGACTGACAACGTGGACGTGGTTCGATTGGAAGTAACTCATGAACCAGGCAGTGTCTTTGGCATTGGCAGTCACCTGGTTATGTACACAGCCTACGATGCTGCCGATAATATGGCTACTTGTCAGTTCAACGTCTTTGTAAATGGTAAGCTTGAATCCTGTCTGACTTTTCATTCGTTTGCGTAAAGTTGGACGTGTGTTTGAGTTACACATTTTACGTCCAATTTTTAATTTGCCTGCATTGATTTGTCAAATTGACCTCACCTAACAAAATGAATCGGAAGTTGCTAAAGCTACTTTTGAGTGATAAGCTTTTCTTTTCGTTATTACAAATCAACTTTTTAAATTTTTACGAGTGAACCTTTTCACCTACAAAATGTCTGTACGCATTAATATGTCAAACTGACTGATATATCAATTTGAGTTGCAGGGTATGCTTTAATATCAAGCGCTGATTTCATGGAATCCTGTCACATTTACAAAGTTTAGGGTGGAGGGAATACATTCCTCTCTAACCCTGGTTTTCATCTTTGTATTTTCTACAAATTCTCTGAACTTTCATTTTACTCTTCTCCCTCCCAACAGCTGCACAAACAAAAGCTACATTTGGGTTGACCAACACTAGGGTTGGTCTCTTCACAGTATGAATAGGGTTGGGATAGGATACTAGTCCACTGCAAGGCATTAATCATGCCTCTACCCATATTAGGTGTAGAAGTGTCATAGTCCAGGCTGGGCTCGAACCCACAACCTGCAGACCACAAATTCAATGCCCCAGACCACTAGGCCATGGCACTCCACAAATGGCTGGAAATCATGTAAGAAGCTTTATCTTCAAGCCAAGACGATTTATTTTCTTGTCTTTGTCATCCCACAGACGTGCAGCCACCAGTCATCACAGGCTGTCCCATGAACCTTCCTAGGTTCCCAACTGACCCCACTCGGGATACAGCCAGAGCATTCTGGGATGAACCTCAAGCTTCAGACAACTCGGGCAGCGTAACTCTGACCTCTAACTACGACGTTGGTGATGCGTTCCCTGTCGGAGATACCGTGGTGGTGTACACGGCAGAGGATGGCAGTGGTAACGCCGTCAACTGCAGCTTTGTTGTCCAGGTCTATGGTAGGTGCAAAACCAAGTGAGCATTAAAACCCTGGTCTTGAAGAATCATTACATGAAATAACAGTTGAAATGGAAGAGAATAATGGTTGATGAAAGTTTGTTTTCTCCTGAATTCTGGATTGGAGTCCTTTCGAAAGACAGGGCTGGATTAAGTGTTCTGTAGGCCCTAGGCACCACCCAAACGTGTGTGTGCCGTTTTTCTATGGTGTAAATCGAGGACACACATGTGATTAGTCATTGTGTACTTAAAGACAGGAGTCAAATCGAGGACGTCTTTAATGGGAAAATGTGTGCAAAATCCATGGGAGCTGTTGCAAAGTTAGAGTATGAACAAAAGATTAGAGTATGAACAAAAGATTGATGATGAGGACCAAAAGGAAATCCTCGATTTACACCATAAACAAACCAGCGTGTACATGTATGGCTTTATGATAGAGGACAGATACACAAAGGAAGAACAAAAGAGCCTTTCAGTCCTTGAGCGTTGGGTCTTTTGTTAAAAATGGTCCTTGATCGTACGGTTATGTGCTTAGTCAATGGGAGAGTGTTATAATACAGGGACATAAGGAAACACAAAGCATTGTCCTCGGGCGTATAGAAATTCACAACTGTGTGTGTGGATGTGGGTGTTTTGTGGTACAATGTGGTATTTTCACAGGCACTCACATTTTTCGTAGGCCCCCAAATTTTTCGTAGGCCCCCAATTTTTTTGTAGTGCCTACTGTGCCTATTGGATAATCCGGGCCTGTCGACAGATCTTGAAGATAAAACCTTGCAAATTGTCTCTTAGGATTCATGGTGTTTGAATTTAAACTCATATCACCCACATGTCAGCTATTAAGACAGATTTATTCATGCTTCATTTGATAATATTTGACATCACCTTCTGGAGTACTTACCAATTCCTAATGACTGCTCTTGTCGCCCAGATAACGAGCCTCCTGCATTCACTGGCTGCCCCTTCCAAGGAGTCACCAGCGACACAAGTCTGCAGAGCGATCGTGGAGTAGCTTCGTGGTCAGAACCTCAAGGCACAGATAACGTGGCGGTAGCCAATGAACAGTCAGACTACCGGCCAGGAGATAGCTTCCCATTGGGTGCAACTGTCGTGACATACAATGTGACTGATACCGCGGGATTGGTCGCCGAATGTTCGTTCACTGTACTGATCCAAGGTTGGTTTTGAAACTATTCTCCGGGGGGATGCATTATGAGATTTATATGTGAAATCTGGGCACAAGTGCCCTCTCAGCGATTACAAAGGGAGTGTGGCCTGGTTGTTAGGTTCGTGATTCATGATCAGAGGGTCAGGGGTTCGAATCCAGCTGCTGGTCATATGTTGTGTCCTTGGGCAAGCCACTTTGACCCCACTTGCCTCTCTCCACCCAGGAGTAGAAATGGGTACCAGCATTAGCTGGGGAGTAACCTGTGATGGACTGGCATCCCATCCAGGGGAATAGAAATATTCTCATTCATTTCATGCTGCTGAAACTGGAGATAATTGGGGGGGGGGGGGGCACCGGCATTTTAAAACCAACATTTCCCAGTCGTACAATGCGCGCCATTTTTTGGGGGGGGGCCACCCTGTATAACAGTTAATGCCTGTGTGAACAAAATTGTACTTTGGCAATTTAGGTCTTGTTGAAGTTTTATGAACAGTTTCCCATTCAACCATTCTCTTGCATCCCATGTAGACAATGAGGATCCAGTCTTAGAGTGCCCGGAAGACATAACCGTCAACATCTTCACACATCAAGGGAGCGTGGCTGTGAACTACACCACGGTCAATGCCACGGATTACGCCAGTGGGCTTGATACATTAACCTGCAGCGTTGCGTCGGGCTCGTCCTTCTCCATCGGCACAAACGACGTCACCTGCACCGCTGAGGATTTGGCCAACAATGTCAACTTTTGCATCTTCCGAGTGATCGTGGTTGGTAAGTGTCATGTTAAAGCTCACATTATGCCAATATACAGTTTTTAAATTATGGTCGTAGGTCTGCTTTGCCTTTAAGAATTTAGTATATACTTAAACCAGGTAAACTGTCATTAAATTGAGATGTCTGCTTTGTTTAAAGGTATTTAGGTGTGAACATGTGAAAGTGACAAAAAGTTTTGAAAAGGTTCCGAAATCGAGACCCTTTTAGGGCTGTCCATTTTTGAATAATTAGTATTCGATTACTCAAAACTGCTTTTGATCGAATAGTCGGATACTCGATACTGCCTGCTGCAAATTTGTGCTGTGCCAGTAAAAAAATGCACGAAGAGTGCGTCAGTTAAAATTTGCTTGCGGTGATCGAGATTTGGGCACTGGAGTGTTTTGTAGTAAGTATTTTTAAATATAAAGGGCTTTAACCTTCTAAAAGGATGTGAACGATGAACTGCCAACTTTATGACAATATAACCTCACAGCTGTGGGCATGTTCAGGCATTCATACCATGCATGAAAAATACAGAAAAACGCAATATCGTCCGCGATTCCCAGCATATGTCTGCGATTGGCGTTGTGTGCAAAACATATGGGTATCTTCCTAAAACAAGAGGGACATTGAGTGTGTATGTCGTACTTTTTTTGATTTCGAATATTGAAACCAGCAAAAAGCTATTCGAAAATTCAGTTGATGGTCGAATATTCGAGTATTCGGTATATTCGGGACAGCCCTAGCCCCTTTAGCTATCCCGTTTCCCTTTTATTTGATATTACAGTTGAGTTCCATGGTATTGAATTGCAAGTCGATATCAATCTTCAGGCCGGATATTTCACAAATTGGAGTTTTATACATGAATCTTCTTGAAGAGTTGGATGTGAATCCTATGGGCTCCGTGCACAAGTACTCTTTCAACGGCCAGAAAAGGAGAGTTGGGGGAGACTTAGACTGGTTCCCGGTCCATCCACTGCGTATTTCTAATGATTCAAAGTTATTGGGGGTGGGGATTAGGCTGGGAGGCCATTGCAAGTTAAATTTGAACTGTATTCACGCGCCGATGATGCCTGAGGCTTACGCAAAGGTACTGTGGCTAATAGCTTGGGCACATTCAGGAAGTCGTTCGTACTTCGCGCTCGAACCAGGAGAGTACAGTACGCACACGGGGCTCTCAAAAGTGGTAAAAATGCGCCCTCTTTTGTTGGCGCACAGAGCCCATACAGCTAAGTGAATAGAATCATGAAATAGAAGTCATTGTAAATTTGTGGTGAATTTTGAAGCTATCCTCCTTTCTGAAGTTGTTTCTTTGATACATTGGAAAACAATCCATCTTCAGGGTCTGATGACACCATACTACCAGTGATCTCCAACTGCCCGATGAACATCACGCTACCTTCCGACAACACTACGTCCACAACCATCGTCAGCTGGACTCCCCCGACTGCCACTGACAACTCCGGTGACCCGGTCACCTTGGACGTCACCACAGAGCCAGGATCGCCATTCAGTCTTGGAGTCAGCGTGGTGACGTATACTGCAACCGATGCAGCTGGCCTGGTCAGCACCTGTGACTTCAGTGTCACCATACTTGGTAAGCCAGTCAGTTTAATGGGAACATTTGCAAGGGCGTGAATCTCTCACATGTCAGACTTTAAATCACGGCTGTGATTGGTCAAAAACAGCATGGGGCGGAGCTTAATAGATTTGTGTATTGATATATTTAATTAAGGGAAATGTTTCTGCCATTGATACCTTAACCATTAGCAGCTACACTGTATTACATTGTAGTAGAATGCCATGGTCCAGTTGATACGGTGTTTGACTCATGTATGATGGTGCGTGGGTTCAAACTGTGCCAGGAACATGGTGCTTGTGCCCTTGGGCAAGACACTCAACTACAATTGCCTTTCTCCACCCAGGAGTATGAATGGGTGCCTGTGGGGTTAGATGACCAAGTGTGCGCTGATATCGGCTGCCGCGTGGTCTCATGGCAGGTTGACCAGGGCACTAATTGTAAGGTGCTTTAAGATTGTTGATACATTCAAAGGGTTAACATTTTTGTGTGAGTGTGTGTTTATTCACACTACACAAAGTAACGGGCATGGAGGCTTTGGGCGGTACAGCACTGATGGGTTACTTAGTTTCTATTGAGAGAATTTGAGACTATTTCTCATTTCTTTTTTTTTTTCACGATCAGATCTGGAGAACCCTCATATCCTGCAGTGTCCAGCGGACATCACTCGGCCCACAGATTCCGGGATGGACTCGGCCGTTGTGGACTGGGCCTCCCCTGGGGCCATTGATAACTCGGGCACGGTCACGCTGGTCGCTAGTGAAACCCCAGGATCTGCATTCTACCTCGGAGTGACTTTCGTCACCTACACTGCAACCGACTCTGATGACAATGTGGAGCAGTGCATCTTTATGATTGAAATCATAGGTAGGGATGCATACCACTGTCAGTCCCTGATGTGTTTTGCAGCGACAATCGGGCATCTTCCTTGGATCACACGGCTGATTTCCTCTCTCCTTACTTCCTTTAATGCCACTGAAGACTTGCAATTGCAGTTGAAAGACTTTTGAAACAATGAATTTCAGCTTCTTCTTTTTTTTCTGGACTATTCATTTGCATGTCTACACCCGATTCACGAAACTCATCGTAACTTACGATGCATCGCAGCGCTGTGACGCGTCGTATCCCTACAGTGCGTCGCAGCTGTGCTGCGTCCTGCAATCCATTTCACAAAACCCATTGTAAGTGCGACGTGTCGTATGTGCATTTATAGCACAACTCGGTGACTGTTTATGTATTTAGTTCACATACAGTAAATAGTCGTCTGATATTCAACAAAGAGTCGTCGGACCTCCTCTCAAAATTTTTTAAAACGTAAAAGTAAATGGCGGCCGTGTGATGCAATTTTAAAGGAAATCAAGCTCTCAGTGGACTGTACAGCTACTTTGAAATCTCAACTGCAATTTTCCAGGCTAATTCATAAGTCAATGCATTTTCTATTTACAACTTTACACACATTGTCTCGGTATTATAGTCTCCTTTATGTATTTTTATGGCATAAAACTGGCTAAGAAAAGGACTATTCTGATATTTTGCGATGACTACTAGACATGTCCTAACTTGCCACGTGTTTGAAGCCGTTGTCATGGAACTTATGACGTGTTCAACACATCGCAAGTTTCTTAAAATGGATTATTTGACGCGACGCAAGTTACGACATATTGCAAGTCGTAACTTGAGTTGCGACACATCGCAGTGCTTTGTGAAATCGGGTGCTGGATATTGTACAAACGATTTGGAGCATTGGATAAATTTGTCAGAACACTGCTTGGGAAATCTAGTGTGTTTTTTCACAGGATCCACAAGTCTGATACTATATGTGACCAGTATTAAAAGTGATTTGCTAGATGCCTTTTCGTCGTCGTAAGGTCATCCTAAGGGCAGCTTTACCCTCATCTCTGACTTGCTTTGTTACCCCATTGCTTTGATGAACTCACGTAATGTAAACAAGAGGATTGGAGAATGTAAGGTGACTCAAATTGTTTCTCGCATTTCACCCACACTTCATTTGGAATAATTTTTGACCACTTTCAGATGAGGAGGATCCAGTGATCACAGGCTGCCCCACTGTCCAGCTCCAGCGAGAAACAGAACCTGGCCAGAACTACTCCCTGGTCATGTGGGATGAGATCGCCATCAGTGATAACAGCGGCAATTGGACTGTGGAGACTACTGGCCCATCCCAGGGGAGAATCAATGTCGGTGATCATCAAGTCACCTATGTGGCTACAGATTCAGCTGGCAACCCTGCACAATGCAGCTTCTCTATACGGGTTATAGGTTGGTATACTCTATAAAGTAGTCCCCGAAAAAGTGTCCGTCTGTCTGTTTTTTAAAATAACTACAAAACCATGAGGTCAAAAAGTGAGTTTCTGCACTCTGGATTGAGCGGGAACTAGCGAAATTTGTTAAAATGCCCGGATGTGGACAATATTAAAAATTAATTTGCAGTCATTCGGGTACTTTTTAAGAAAGCATATGATACGCTGATTTATGTTAACCACTGGAAGGCTTCGTCTGTCGCACCACGAAGTGACGTATCGTGAGAGCATATTTCATTAGCTTTTCAACACCGAAACAATCTTTCCAATCGGGTAAATATTTATTGAGTTGTGGCAAATTGAGTACAGGTACCGCTTTTTCATTTTGTCCATGGCGAAAGATATTTTGACTGCCGCAGTAAGAACACGGGCTGAAACTTGGATTTGTGAAAAAGGCTACCAAGTAGAGGGCAGAGACAGAGCAGCAAAGTAAACATCTTAGAAGTTAATTAACCAAACAGTCCTTTTCGGGACTACCATTATTTCCAAAAGGATAAATGACCATTGTTGCAAAAAATGAAGAATAAAAAAGAACCAAGAAAGGAAAGAAAGATTAAAAATCAAAGAAAGCAAAACTACCCTCACCCCAAATCCATTACATTCCTAACAAATGACAATTGAGACCGTGGACAGATTGAAAAATGAGTACCTATTTTCAATTGGCCATAACTCAATAAATATTTACCCGATTGGCAAGATTTTTCTCGTTGGTGAAAAGCTAATGAACTGTACTCTCCACTTGTGTTTCGAGATGTGTGTGGTATTTTTGTAAAGCTATGAAAAAGACGGGGATTTGAGGGTTCGTTTAGTGCAGTTGCCCTGATGAAGGTGCATCACACCGAAAGCTTGGCTGTCACTATCCGGTGAGACACTGTATTAATGTTGTTAATCACGTTTTATTATTTCTGTTACAGACACAGAGCTGCCTGTTTTCTCCAACTGTCCGACTGAGATCATCAAATTGGTGAATGAGAGCGGGCGAGATGCTGTGGTGACTTGGAATGCACTCCAGATCACTGACAATGTCGGAGTAGACGCAGGAACCTTGTCGAGTACCCATAACTCAGGCGACACATTTCCGTTTGGTGGTCCCACCACAGTCACAGTCAATGTGGCTGATGTGAATGGCAATACCAACTTCTGCAGTTTCACTGTCACAGTCTCAGGTAAATAATGGAACTCAAACTTAGCTGGCCTAATGGTTCAGTCGTAAGGCCGGGTTCGTACTCGGCGTGAAAGCGAACGAAAGGGAATGCAGTTGGCACCTGACACTCACGTGAAGACGCTAGGTGTTTGTGCACGCTCATCAAGTCGTGCGTTCTTCGTGCAGTACGTGCGCGTTTCAGTATGCGCCCGACGAGTGTCCTGTCCATGAGGTCTCGAATATGGTCAAAAAACGCCCTCTCTTGTTCAAGCACGGAGCTCTCAAGATATTTCATGCCTTTGTCAATTTGTTCGGACATATCATCTTACTTTTATACCTCGGTATCCCAAACTTGCTGTCTTGCTGGATACGTGGGCGATTCTGCACGCGTACGCGGCGTGTCCCAAATATGGTAAAAAAGTGCCCTCTCTGTTCATGCACGTAGCCCATAAGATATTTCATGCCTTTCTAAATTTTCTTCGGACATCTCATCTTACTTTTTTTACCTCGGTATCCCAAAGTTGCTGTCTTGCTAGATAGGTGCTCGATTCTTCACGCGCACATGGCGTGTCCCTTCCACGGGACTTTCAAATATTGGCCAAAAGCGTGTTCACGCACGGAGGCCATAAGATATTTCATGCCTTTGTCACTTTTCTTTGGACATCTCATTGTACTTTTTAACCTCGGCATTCTGAACTTGCTGTCTTGCTAGATATTGTCCGATTTTTAGAGGGCACTTGATCATCACCTTTACTGCAGCGTCAGCCTGACTGTGGAACCAACTCCCTCTGGCTATCAAATCATCTCCATCCATCACAACATTTAAGACAAACATGGAATTTCACCTAGTACAAACAAGCTTACTCTCACAACACATAATCTAAACTTGACTTTCTCCTCAAGCGCCATGAGTACCTTTACAAATGTTCTTTATTGGCTTTTACATTTGCGAAAAAGCCTCTCTTTTTGTTCTCATTTTTAAATTTCTTTCTTCTTCTTTTTGTTCCCTGGCAAATCCTATAGATTTTGTACACGTCTTTTGTCCACGCTACTTTTGGCATTAATCTTTGTCATACATCATTCAAAGTCAGCATAGGCATAGTCCCTATAGCAAAGTTGTGTCCCGAAGAGTGACGTCATCATGACGTCATCATGGGTCACGTGATGTCATCTTAAAAGTGCATATTTGAAAGTCCTATGTCTAGAGAATTGGAAGTCCCACAGGGTTTAAATATGGTATGTAGGTATATCGGCATGTGTTAAAGGTAAAAATTAAGGCGATGTCATTGATTGATTTTATAAACCATATCTCATTAACAGAACGTTAGCAAACTACACAATTCTTTTTGTAATTGGCATGTTAGGTCAAACTTATGTGCAAAAAAAAATTTGGCAAGTGTCTGACGTCATGATGACGTCATCAACGATGCTTTTTTTACAAACACATAAAGGCGTAAGTCAGAATTTTAGTCATGAAATTTCATTATATTGTTGGGCTGCTAAAGCAGCACGTGTATCAGAGAACATTGTTTGTACATGAAAGTGAACATCATTTGACATGATTGCACATGGACAAACAAAGCATTAACTTTTGAAAAGCGTGAAATACGAAAAAGCCCTATGTTCTGTTCACAAACAGACATAGACCTCTAGTTGTTATTATTATCTCTGTTTTATCTCTTTCAATCTGCATAGATGCCCCTCAGGCCCTGAGTAACTGCCCCGTCTACATCCAGCGGCCAACAGATACTGGAGTAGCCACAGCCGTAGTCACATGGAATGATCCCGACGTGGAGCCGCAAGGCGCCTCCCTTGACATCCAGTCAACCCCTTACACGTCGGGTGACACTGTCCCCCTGGGAAGACACAACGTCACCACCACCGTTTTCGTCGACGGAGACTTTAACAACCCAGCCCAGTGCACGTTTGTGGTTGAAGTCGTTGGTGAGTGGCATAGGCTTTATATTATTTCATATTAAATTGAAAGCAAAGTAAAATCTTCATTTTCAGAAATGAAAGCAATAAAATAAAGTTGATTACAACTTAATACCAGTCTGCTCTGATGTTTAGTGGCAAGCCACATTAACAAAAAAAAAGAAAGTGAGGCAGACTGAGGCTTGGAGCACATAAATGGTCCGGCAGGTTTGCATTCAACAGTTTACATGGCCTATCTACACATACTTGATTTTGTCGCAACGACTATGTTGCGCGGCAATGTGGCAAACGCGCATTTGTGAACGAACAAATACGCGATATGTTACGCACATTTTGAAATTAGCCCTCAAGGATATTGAAAACGTGGCAATTTCCTCCCGTATGTTTTCCATTCTTTCGATGTCTTTGTAGTCTGTGTTAGATGTGTCGTACAATTCAAGATATTTCTGCACCTCAGTAATTAAATATATGTCTATTTTGTACAACAAATCAGTTTAGGCACTTGTGATATATGCGTGCGATATTTTTGTCAATGGATAAAAATCAGATCGAATTTGATTAAAAAAAATTGTGCGATAAGTCGCAACTAAATATAAACACTCTCATTGATTTATGCAAATACATATATAAAAAAACGCACGACACTATTGCGCAACAGAATAGGGTGTGTTTGAATAAAATTCAGGGAACACGATCAAAAATGGGTTCCTTGTGAGTAAAGTCTATTGCATAGTTCTAGACTGTGGTTGTGGAGTTATTATCCTTGGGCCAGAGTGCAAGCCTATTGTCATACCTGACTGACTGACTGACTCCCCGAATCATGATGACTCCCCGACTGTCGGGCAGTGCTGTCATATAGGATGACCCTATAACACCAAGAAATTGACTAAATGTTGCCCATGGTGTACACAAGATTCATGAAAAAACTTCCAGTGAACGACTTGGACTGATCTCCGACCAACTTTACTAGGTTTGTCTCGTCTACTCTCCAGCTTGGGGAGAGAGAATCCTTATGAAATTGATGTACCAAGTGCAAAGCTTTGCACAATCACCAGGCTAAGCACTGCGCTTGAACATACACTATAAGAGATTGTTCTACACCTGTGTGTTCACAATTCTGTCTGATCGCTTGAGTCTGTTACGTGGATACAATGTTTCTTTACCTTTATGTCGTCTTGTTCCAAAATTTCTTCCTAGACAACGAGCCTCCAACTTGGACAGCGTGCCCAGGTGATGCATCCGTCACTCCATCCGTTGGAGCAGTCAACGCTTCTGTGACCTGGCCTCTGCCCATGGCTCAGGATAACTCTGGTTCTGTCCAGGTCTCGCCCGGCTCCCACAACATCGGTGATCTATTCCCGATTGGTCAGACGACCGTGACCTACACAGCCTCCGACGCCGTTGGTCATGTCATCACCTGCTCCTTCCTGGTCACAGTACGAGGTAGGTCGTCAAATCACAGCACTCCGTAAAAAAAGAAAGTCCCCACTCATTGGAGGGGTCATAATTTTGATCTGATCGTCTTATGGTAACTTCATTTATATAGACATTTGGGGAATGTTGTTAGCTACATTTTGATACCCTGTTTGCTACCGAAGACTATAATTTGTCCAAGTTGAAAAACGATGCAGTTTTGTAGTTGCAATTTATGAGATACACAAGGAGAAATTGGTAAGCGCCAACACACGTGCCCGTATATCATTGGCCCCTATTGACTACACAGGAGTGCCCGAACAAAGCGCGCGTTATTCAATTTCATGTGCTGCCATGCATACCAGCACGGTGCAATTGATATTCTCTGCCATTCGTTTCGGGCAGTCCGACATTGTCACGCAGCAATTTCCACTCGACTTGCGTACTCTTTAAGTTTCAGCTTTTCAAACTGCATCATTTTTCATAAACCATTGTCAATGTTGGATGATTTACAGTCTTTGGTAGCAAACGGGGTATCCAAAATGTAGCTCACAATATTCCCCAAAGGTCTATATAAATGACGTCGTCATAAGACCATCAGATTCAAAATTACAGCCCCTCCAATGAGTGTGAACTTTCATTTTTTTGCGGTGTTTAGGACCACAACATGATCAAGTGAGAAGAGTGCAAAAATCCAAGTTGCTTGACAGATGTGTTTTGAAAAATTTCTCAAAAGCTTGGTTGTTAGATGTTTGTGGTGTAAAATAGCAATTAAAAGTAGCCTGTACAAAGCAAGCCGTGTTATTTAATGAGGTTGTCGTAGGGGTATTTTCCTTGCCTTCCACCGCTGTGACTCAGGTTCGAATCCTGCCTAGGTCAATATGTGGATTGGGTTTTCAGTTCCTACCTGATTCCATGGGTTTTCCTCTAGAATATCATTCTGGGGTTTTCCTCCCACCCATTGTAACTCCTACATATTCCACAAGGGACCCCACTGGAATTAAGTCGAAAGACTTTCGTGGCCAATCCCGGCCAAATGTCGAATAATCACAAAACAATAATACATTAAGAAATTTCCAAAAAAGTGAATTTGCCCCATGATGAAAGCTGAGCTTTTATTCCTCCAATTTGATGTAGTATTGATTGCGTTTGACTTTAGAGAATTCAGAATTTGAAACTCTTTATAGAGATTGTGTGCGTTTTTTCCTGTCCAGACTTGGAAGATCCTGTCGTGACTTGTCCCGAGGCTATGACTGTGAATACCGACCTCAGCAAGGGAACTGCTACGCTCACCTGGACAGACGCTACGGCTAGCGACAATGTGGCTGTCACCTCGCTCCTAGCCAGCCCTGCCAATGGTAGTCCCTTGATTGTCGGAGAGAACACTATCACCTACACGGCAATGGATTTTGCGCAGAATTCCCACAGTTGCTCTTTCATCATCACCGTCATTGGTAGGTCAAAGCAACGACTAACTATTGATACAATAAGCCATTTGTGAGTAACCCAAACCTTTGGCATTTACATTTGAAAAACATCTAGTACACTGACTTGCTCAGAATGCTTGGCACATTTTAGCTTTGAATTCTCCAGACCAAAGACACTGTTGCTTATCACATAATTCGGGGCAAGCTCTTGCGTAGTTACGTAAGAGACGCTCAGCGCCAATACATC